AATGAATCTCGTTTTGCTATGCGCGTTTATGCTTGTACATTGCTTGTTTTCTTTTCTTGTTATTGAACAGAATTTTGTTTTTGATTAGATGCCAAATTTATATGTGAAAGATTTCGGTGAAAGAATAAAATGTTTAGCAACAGATATATATATATATTAGTGCAGTATAAATACATAGTTCTAGTAGGCACAAAGTTGAACATGCAATGAACTGTTCTTTGAACTGTATCTCCTTTTTTTTTCTATAGATAAACGATCAAAAAATGTCCATCGTAACATCCATAAATGAGAACGACAAAGTTGACGTAGAACAAATAATTAAATCGTTAAAAGAGTCCACAACTGATAGTGAAAAATTTGCTGGTTTAATAATTGTGAGTGATATCAGATGTAAAATCTTATAGAAATAAAATATATTTTGTTTTTATTCATTTGAGATTCCAAAATATTTGCATGTTCAAAATTTATCACAAAAACAACTTCATTCATTATTTGAAGCCATTTCAGTTCAATTTTTAAAACGTCTGTTAAAAACAGGTGAAACTGTTCTGTTTAAATTAGTTATCCTTATATAAAGAATGATTTGCTTATTTAGACTGTTTATCTGAAAATTCTTCTCCAATAGCATATGCAAACGTATGTCTCAATGTGATGAACGCTTTTGTCTACGATGAAAATATTGTATATATTTCTGAACTATTTTCACATTTTTAAATCTTATACTTGGTTTTTGTTAAAGGTTTTAAATTCAGATTACATGTCATTAGTTGATGATCTCATCTATCGTGCTAATCGCGTACATAATAAAAAGTATGTTTCAAGTATAGTAACTACCCATTTTATACAAAAAAATTATCTACATTCCTTTTGTTTTTCAGAACAATTGATGATGATGAAAAATCATTTATTCGTGATACGTTGCAATTTTTAACAACAATAATTCAAAAATATCCAATATCGATTCAATCAATAAAACTTGTTGTTCAGCTATGTTACCAACGACAAACAGATAGTATGATTTAATAAAAATTATCTTGAGAATGCTGAAAAAGTAACCTCCTTTTTAGTTGTTTTCAGGTACAAATTTCATTAGTACAATTCTTCAATATCCAAATGATTCGGTGCAAACATTCTGTGTTGAACTATTGCAATTGTGCAATCAAGAATTAAATCATCAAAGTGTACATGAAAAATAAATATGATTTTTTTTTCTTTACTACTGACTCTCTATTTCAGAATGAAATGTTTTACCACGTTTTAAAGTTTCTTTATTCCATCATTCCACTTATCCATCATGTAAGATTGTTGCCATAAACTAAACATGTTCATAAATAACTGTAATCTCTTCTGTTTATAGGATATCTTTCAAAAGCTATCTACCACCATCAATGACTTATTACAGCGACTGGATAATCTTTTGAGATGTCGTTTAAGTATGTGTAAAATTTGTAATAAACGAACATAAATAACTAATTTATGTATTCTTCTTTAAGGGAATGAACAGCGTGCAATATTAATTGATGTTTATGCGTGCCTTGTTGAACAATATCAAACAGTTACATTTATTTATCAACATAATAAACAGACATTTCTCTTGTTAGTACGCCTATGTATTGTTGAAATACGAATGATTGTAGAAAATCCAAGTTTACCTATGGTGAGTAGTCAAAATTGTGAACTATTTTAAACGATTATGTGTTTGTAGATTTTAAATAATATACAACATCTTGCCAGTTGTTTTCTGATTATTGAACAAACGATTTTTGCTTTATCTCAATCGGATGACGATACTATCACAGATGATGAGACAACGTTAATTATTCAAAAACTAATTGAAATGTTTCACGGATGTATATTTTTAATTGATCTAATTATCGATAATGATAACGAAGACGAAAATAAACAGGTCTGATTCTTTATTATTTATTCATCTACATTCATTATTCTCCTATTTATATTTTAGTCTTATGATACTGTTTTACAAGCAACTGTTCGTTTATTAGGAATTTGGCTTAGCCAAGAACCTATGGCTCTACAAAGTGTCGTACAATCTCGTTTATCAAAGTGGCTCAATTATGGGTATGCAAAAACACAACTTCTATCTTTATTTTCATTTATTATCATTTTTTTCTACATTTAGTTTAAATTCTTCGACATGTAATGAGATTTTTAAGAAATTCTTGGTACCAATTGCTAGAGAAGATAATAGTGAGAATGAAAGTAGTTGGAACAAACCGATAACAATTTAGTACATAAAACCATGTTTTCTGTGTTATTGTATATTTCTATGTTAAAGTTTTTGATAAAAATAGAAACTTGAAAATTTGGTGGTTGAAATACGAACAAGTAAATGCATTTGAATGTAGCAGTTGTTTGAAGTAAATCTTTGTAAATATCACGTATTAAATTGTTAACTCTTACCTTCAAATGGAAAAAGTAGCTGACAACTAATTTTCCACTAATTTTCTATTTTTCCAAAAGTCGAATTGTCGATCAACAAGAAATGGAAAAACCACAATAGTTATTTTTAATCCCAAAATATCGCGAAATGTAAACTCATAACTAAAAGTCTATCTCACTTAAGTTCAAATGCTATTTAGAAATATTGATGAAACAATACTCCAGGCTAGGTAACAGACAGATAAATTAGACTTGTTTTAAGGTAAGCTACACAACCAAATCTAGAGAATAATGGTGGCCATTATTAAATGGAATTAATTTTCCGTTCTCTTTTGTTTCTTGTTTTAAACTGAATGTTTCAAAAAGACGTTTATCGGAATCTAGAGATTTATATTTTTCTCGACAAGAGGAACAAATTGCAAAAATTTGTATCGAAACCTTGCGTATTTTTTTCTAATCGAAAGTTTGTGACTTAAAGCTCTTCAAAAGTTATTCAAAATCTTGCAGTTTTGCTAATTTAGATGATTCGACGTTGCAAGAGAATAACCCACATTCTGGACGATAAAAAGTTCTCGATAAAAAATATCTCAATTTTCACCTGTGTTTCTATAAAACTTTCTTCTGAGTAATTGCGTTTCTTTTTAAAGCGACTTTCATTAGTTTACAGGCTATTGATTATCAGGTATGTTACTAAAGTTCACAAAAGACAGAAAAAAGATTAAATAAGTCTTTAACAACTAATGTTTGTATCACCAGATAAATTCTTGTCATCTGAAAAGTGTTTACTACTACATGGTAGATCGTGTCAGCGATAAGTGATTAAAAAGAATGTGTTGCTAGACTAAAAGTGTGGCTCTGTAACACTTAAAGTGTAGCGGTAAAAGTTTTCGTAATATTGTACTTTTTACCATGACGGTTGGAACAATGAGTGTCTATTGAGACATTTCTCGAAAGATTAGTTTTATCATTAGCTGGATCAGTGTTTCTAATAACAAAGCGTACATACACGTCGGAATTTAAAAATACGCTTTATATTTAAGAGAAAATAAGAAAAACTTTCTTAACTAGTTTCTATTTTTCTCCTCTAGTTTCTGGTGCCTAACTGATGCTTTCTTTTTTAGATTTGAAACATGTACGCATACGCTTCGATGGGAAAAACAGAGCTTACTCGTACACTCAGCGGATAAATTCTGTTAAAAACACTGAGCTGGATCATACAAAGATGTTTATTAAATCAAAACTGTTAATAAAAGTCTAAAAGTTCCGATACAACTTCAGTTAGTGTGACATGTCACAATTAAGTTTTGGAAAGCAGCAAACGTAATGTGCGGTTGATTTGGTTGTTTCCCGTACGGCTATTTTTGACGGCTGCGTTTGTTGTTTCCTTTTAGCACCAAACAATAGTTTGATATAAGCTTTATTCAGCCACAATACAAGCGGAAAACTATTCTATTTTCTAAACTAAAACTATCGAAAAACACTAAAGCAATTTTGTACGATAATAGTATAAATAATAGTTTCAAGGAGCCATGATCAATGTGAATTGATGTAGTCTCTCTTTAGAGCGCCTATTTGGAGCTAAAGGAAACAACAAACGCTAGCCTTAACCGTCATTTTCCGCTAGCCGTCAATTGACGGCTGTTTTTGACGGCTAACGGGAAACAACCAAACCGCCTTATACAACCCTTTTATGTGTTTCTGTATTCGTATAATTTGTCGGTTATTAAGCCAGTCAAAAATTTGATATGAGACTCTTTGCAGGAAGATTATTAACTTCTGTTAACGGAAATGATGATTCGACAATACGTACGAGTAAAAAGAGACCGCATTAGAAGAAATGAAAAATAACCACCAACAAACGCTTATTGTCCGTCCGTTGGTCATGAAGTAAATTGACAGCTAGTGAGTCATTTCAAAAAGTCTGACCGGCTCTGAGAAGAATGTGTAGATTAGGGAAAGCGAGATGGAAAAGAACGTGTAAGAAATANGTAAATTGACAGCTAGTGAGTCATTTCAAAAAGTCTGACCGGCTCTGAGAAGAATGTGTAGATTAGGGAAAGCGAGATGGAAAAGAACGTGTAAGAAATAAAATTATAGAAAATACATCTGAGACATAGATCGAACGGAGCATTTCTAATGAGGTTTTGGCGCAATAGATACGTGGGTTTCTTTTACAAGGTATACAAAGTCTGAAGAAAAGTGGATACAATCAAATAGTAGAGCATTCTCAGTGTTAGGTTCTTTCTATGAACGAGTACAGACACAGAAGAAAAGCAAAATCAACAAGAATAACTCATACAAAACTTTAATTTAAAATTGTACATAGTGCGTGCACTCTGTGTTTTTTCTGGCAAAGTGTAAAATAGTGTAAATGTACTTTTCGTGGTGTTTTTATACTTTGTTTATAAAGGTACACTTTCGAAACAAATATTTTCTAACCGTTCATGTACCGGTTGTCGCCTACTGAATACTTGTTCTTACAGCAAGAGAATTTTCAGTTCTAGAATGCATCAGCAGACGACAGGACTTGCACTGTCATATAGATACAAACCAGCTCAACTGAAAGACTGTGAAATTTGTCGATATAAGAAAATAATGTGAGTTAAGATTTCCTTCACGCATTTACGTATCCCGAACAATTATTTCCTTCTGTTTCCTCGCTGTAAGAGCAACACTATTTACTAATTATGTCTTTTCTCGTATTTACATACATGAATCGGTATCTTTCTTAAATGATTAGAGGTAATAGTTTGCTCTTGGTGTTCTGGAATAAAGCAGTAGAATAAGCATGTAAAATTGGCAGATGTCTAACTAAAAACTGTTTAATCGAATAAATTAGTAAGAAGCCACTATTATTTTTTATCTTTCGATAAAAGTAAGAATCTTGAAAAAGTAAAAAGTGAGTTCGTTTCTGAAGAAGAGTATAAGAAGTCAATCGAAATGTTTTACAATGTAGTTCTTCTTTTAACAGTTTATTTAACAAGTTCTCTCCAGTCGTAAGTAACATTTTCTTCAATCTTCTTTACACTAGACAGAGTTACAATACAACATAAATCTACAAAAATTGGGTTATACAGGAGATCAAGTAGCGTCCGCTCTTCTCGAAAAGCTTCAGAACTCTCTATGCATTTTATACCGTATTTTCAGTCAAACTACATATGAGAGATAAACTGTTCGAAATCTGTAACGTAATGTATTTCAATTTTTGCATAGACGAGCTTGTAAGCGTTAGTGGACTAAGCATAGAGATCAAAATGCTCATTACTAAACTTGTTAAAAATTCCTACTCGTGGCCGCCTTGATGAGATTTTATCGAGAACAAAAAAAACACTGTTTCGTTCGTTTTGTATTTCATTCATTCCTTACTGCATATAAAACTTGCAATTGTGCTCCACACAGGTTGTGATGTTGACAGAGTCCGTGTAAGCTGAAGTTACCAGAATCAATCCACAGCTAGCAGACCTCCACTAGTTTATTTTCGATGTGAATTTCAGTTTCAGATGGTTTAAATGAAAATGATTACGAAACTTGAAAAACAAAAACAAGTTAAAGAGTAATCAATAGGATTTGGGTTTCATTTTCGAAGAATAAGTAAAAGAAAAGTCATAAGAGTAAAACGTCTATTAAGCAAATACCTAAAACAAAAGAAGCAATGAATCTTCTAAGGAAGAGATAGGGATTTCTCCTTTCTTCCTCAGGTAAACACCTAAATGACAAGAATCAATAGGTCTCCTAAAGAAGAAATTAGCGTTGTTGGTTCTTCTTCTTCTTGTCGAGCCTATAATTCCCAATTATTTCAACAATCGATGAATTTATAGCTTTTCGGCATTTCTCTCTTTTCAAATAACAAATCTTCCTTTTTTCTTTTTCTTTCTTCGCTATTTACTGCAATTCTATTCTCAGCACTCTAATCACATTTTTAAACAAATTCGCTCCGTATAAATATATTTTTGAAAATTTTTCTAAGTTAAAAACACATTTTTCTGCCACTTATGGCGCTTACGGCGCCTAAGCTGACCTTTTGTTTGCAAAAGGAACGTGTAACCACCAATCTGCACTATACACAGAATATCGTCCCATTTCCAGAAATTTTCTACGTTGGATCACGCGGCTTACATTTTGCAAAAAAATGTGACTAAACAAAAGGAAAAAAACAAAATTCCTTGCAAAAACGCATAATGACTGTCGACATAAATATTTACTTGTGGTAACCATAGAAAGCATTTTGACAATACGTACGAGTAAAAAGAGACCGCATTAGAAGAAATGAAAAATAACCACCAACAAACGCTTATTGTCCGTCCGTTGGTCATGAAGTAAATTGACAGCTAGTGAGTCATTTCAAAAAGTCTGACCGGCTCTGAGAAGAATGTGTAGATTAGGGAAAGCGAGATGGAAAAGAACGTGTAAGAAATAAAATTATAGAAAATACATCTGAGACATGAATCTGATAACCGTTTATTTGGTGTACAGAATGTTGCATAACCATTTGCTAGGAGATACACTAAAGAGAATTACAGTGAAAGATGGGTAACAGACAAGTGGAAGAAAGAATATGATTCGTGTTTCACAGAACTTGGTGACGATAGACCTGAAAAACTGTCTCAACAGAGCAAAAAGATTTTGTTGGCTGGAAGTGAAAAAAGGCGACGATGTTCCTTGTTTGTTATGTTTTGATATCACATGAAGTGGTGGTTTTAGTCCCTCGTTAACACGAAGTCTATAAATCGAATCTCTATCTCTTTCCTCGTCTTTCCAACACTTCCTTTGCGATTTGAACGTTGCTTCGTCGTCTTTTTCTACTTCCCGCCAACACAATGTTTTTGCTCTCTTGAGACAGTTTTTCAGGTCTGTCGTCACCACCAATCATCTTTAAAACCATATATTATTCAAGGTACTAGTCTTCACACTCTTTAATGTATCTTCTACATATATATATTTCTACATACACTCTGTACACACAGCCATGTATTTAATGCTGATATTTAAGACTACAGATGAAAATCATTCGTAATCTCTTCTGCAAATGTTTCATAATTCTTCTCTTTTCTAGATTTTTCATATTAAACAACTGAAGATTCCATAGTTTTTTATTCGTTATTTGTTATATTATATCAAAACTAACAATTTAACCATGATGATTGACGATAAATTAGTATCTACAAATGCGAATACAATCGTTCGTCCTATCCTACTGCCAAATCCTTATCATAATTCAAATACATCAGCTCAAATAATGAAATCGTCGGCAGTCACACAAGCTGATATCACAAATTTTTTGCGTAAATATGATCCGGACGTCTTACGTGCAATTGATTTCATAACTCATGTGAAATTATTTACATTTAACTCTGTTGATTTACGGTGGGAAAACACAGCACAAATAGAAGGCACATTTTTTATCTATGAACGTCATCAACGTGAGCTATCCTCTTCAACAACCATCACAGCATCACCACGAACTGTTTTTGTATTTGCTATTATTAATAATGATAATAGTTTTATTCAAATTGTTACACTAGATTTGACACATCATGTTAATAAAACATTTTTATTCTACGAAGTAGCACGAAATGATAAGCGTGAAGTTTATTGTTTACATTTTCTTAATGAAAATGATTGTCAACGAGCACATACGGTTTTAGTCCGTTGTAATCAAATGATACGTCATCATCAAAATCCCCAACAAACTCACCCACAACAGGAAAAACAACATCCAATTCCTCCTCAACCGCTCGCACATCAATTTCCTGTACCCCCGCAACAACGTCCACCGTTTTACGCTATGGTTGGCAATCATAATTTTCCTTCTCCTTATCCACTGATGCCCCGCTGGCAACCACAACCACAATTTAATGGTCATATTTTACCACATTCTATGCTTCAAAGTACGGGATCAGTACAATCACCTGCACGTAATTTATATGATGGTGCTAATTGGCCAATACCACCACCTTCGTCACTTGCTGTTCAACCAAAACCAGAGGTGAGAGAACTTAACGGTGTTGAGCGATATTGAGCAATAAAAAAGTACGGATGAAATCATGCACTTACAGTTTCAAGTGACTTTTAGAACTTTATGTGTGTGCTTTCTCTGTTAGTGAGTCCGTTACTAGTTTTTCCTAAGTATTACTCGGCAAGAGTAATAATATATAATAAAGATAAATTTCTGAGTGAAATAAATCTCGTTATTTTTGTTTTCGTTTTTTTTAGCAGCATCAATATCATATTAACAATTCTGCTTTGACTGCATCTACTCCATTTCCTTACCCTCTAGCTAATCGAGCATATCCTATTGGTAATCCTCATTATAACCAACAACATCTTCAACAATCATCACCCACATCAACACTTCTATCAAATCATAAACAACATATCGTGGAACAGGAGAAAAATGCGAGACACCCGTCGACGTCATTAACGAAACCTCTCACGGCAGCAGATAGTGTACAAACTATAAACGTTCGTTCATCGCCTACTTCATTACCTTCGTCACCACTATCAAATGGTATACACCATTCGAATGGAAATAGCGATTCTGTTGAAGATGCTTCGTTACAATTGAAACGTTTATTAAATATACGTGGTCAAGTTGGTTTCAATGAAAATAACCCGATTAATGAAACAGAAATCACTGTAGCTCCATCATCAACAATGAAAGCAATAGATCATAATTTTTTAACTGTATCAACACAAAATCGTATTGATCTTTTATCGAAAACTGATTATTTTCCTGATGAAAAGGAACAAAAACAACAACAAAAGCAATTATCAACTGTTTCGTTATTACCACCTTCTGCATTTGAATCAACGCCGACTACATTATCAATTCCTCCACCTGTAACGTCAGCAGGACCCGGTACCATTGGTGCTGAACGTTCGGTAAGAAGTGGTAACCTTGTACCGTTTTCAGACCAGCAGCAGTATCGTGCACAGTCTGTTATACCGCATTCCTCAACAACGTCAACAAATGAATCCGTATTTTTTCAACGACAACGTCCAATTGCTCATACAGTAAAATGTTCGCAGTGCGGTAATCATTCATTATCATATTCTGAATCGTCAACTCAATCTTCTGCATTAAAAAAAGAAGATTTTCGTCATATATTCATTAATCTAATACAAAATGATGAACATTTTTTAAATATTATTTATCAGGCATGTCAAGCTTATTCTTTAGCATCGACATCATCATAGATAAAACACTTTTTTCTTGTTTTTCTGGAAGAGCTTTTTTTCTATTTGATGTGTTTGTGCGTGTGTGTGTGTGTGTGTGTGTGTGTGCTCCAATAAACCTAACTCTATAGGGTTACAGTCTTTTCATTTTTGATTGCATGAGTGTATTCTTTGTTGTAAATCATGGATTTTAATATTGTACTTTCTGCTTTCCGAATCGTATGATGATCATGTTTTCGTTTATTACAAAACATGTACACTCTCTTTATTTTTTGCTTCTGTTGTTGTTGTCCTCTAGTTTTTCTTTTTTTGTTCTCAATAATAAGAGGGAATTGTCGCATGTGTACTTTAGACTTTGTTGTGTTGTAGATTCTGGTGTAGTATATGTGTGTTTTATATACAAGGCTCTTTGTTCTACTTTGCAAATTTAAAAATTTTTTTTCAATTTACAGTGTACTACACATATTTGTGTAATATAGGTGTTTAGATTTATCTTCTTATTTTGTTTTCTTTGCCTTTTCACACAGATGTTTTTCGTGTCACTTTTTGCTTATTTTCAAAATTGTATGTTTACATATTTTTTTTTTACATAGAAATACCAAGTCGCGATTGAGAAAAAGAGATAGTGCTGAAAAATAAAATATATGATTATACAACAGATCTATTTTTTTTACGTCGATAGAAAAGTGTTAAACTCAGTGGTAGGAGTAGAAACACTTGAAAGAATATTGTGAAACGATAAAAATGATATTCTATCATCGTTTGATGATGCCACCAAATCAATGCTAGTTTATTCGACAGTATTACACGCTTCAAAACTACATCGCATTTTGTAGAGAAATGTTCACACTACAACAATTATTGTTCGAAAAGTTTGTAAGATTAACTATGCTGAAACTAAGAACATTGCGAAAGACAGGAAATGTTGAAGAACAGTTCAACTGTTTTTTGGATGGACCGTATTTTCAGCAATATTAACCTTGGAATTCTTTTTGAACAATAACTTTTCTAGTGCGAACATTTCTTTGCAAAATGAAATGTTTCTCAACTCTGAGCAACTCTTAATAACCGAATTATAACAGTTTGTCTGAATGCTCAAACGCAGATCCGTAACTGGTGCATATCTAATGGCGATTAGAAGTGTTAATTGATGATTTTGTCGGCGACATGGTAAATTTAAGAACTTATCGATAGGTGAGTATTTTTTTTCGAGAAACTACAATTTTTTCGTGAAAAAAATCTTTAAATCTGCGTCGACTAACATTGTTAATGGCTATGGAGTGCATATTTGTGGTGACTGCAACAATATTGTCGATCTAAATTCGTTGTTTGCTTCAGATGTCTTCCCCAGCGTTGGCAACTACGACTGATATTTCAACAGATTTTCAAGCATTTCAAGTACGTCCAGTTATTAAAGATTTTCGATTAGCAGCTGAATTATTTGCATCCAATGGCGATGTTGTTCTCATATGTGGTAAAGAAAAGCAAGAAAGACAAGGAATGTTATTAGTAGCATATGAAATTCAATCACGTGGTAGTGGAAACTTGAGTACTGATTATACATCAGCGTCAACAGCATCGGTTAGACTATTAAAAGTTGTTCGTATAAATAAAAAAGCTGTGACACAATTAGAAACGGTACCCATAATTAAATTAGCTTTGTTATTGGGTGATGGTGTTTTGTCGCTGTTGGATATTGATTCACTTGTTGAAATGGCAACCGTACCGCTTCCAAATTTGACGTTGTTTTCAAGTTGGTACGATTCAACAGTGCAATACGAAACATATTCATTAGGTAGTAGTAATAGTAACAAATCGACAAAATCTAGTACGTCGGCAGATTCATCTGAGAGTTTAACAATTACTGATAGACCAAATGTGCCTTTTGAACTCCGTCTTGTTGTTGCTACAAAGAGAAAAGCATTACTATTCTTCTCATGGTTTCCACAACAGCTACGTCTAGTTGAAAATAAAGAACCGAACAGAGGCGTCTTCGAATTATGGGAACAACCGAAAACATTAGCATTAAGTAAAGAAAAACTATGCATCGGTTTGAGAAGATCGTATGCAATATGGAATATATCGACAGGAATAATGGAAAATGAAATTCCATTAAATAGTCAAATACCTTATGAGCCTATAATAACATCATTACAAGAACGGCGTGGTTGGTGTTTACAAGTTGATTCAAATACAATATTTCTTGATACAACTTTTTGTCCTATGTATCAAGAGGGTATATCAACGTGGAAAGAAATTCCATCGTCAATTGTTCAATCATCACCCTACGTTCTTGGATTAATGTCAAATTCAATTGATGTATGTACATTTATTCCACAGTCCATAAAATTATCGACAACAGCGACAACAAGCAGCAATATTCAACGATTATCTCCATCATCACTTGTTCAAAGTATTCCATATAAAAATGTTAAAGGACGTTTGTGGATGGATACAAAAAACGAACGTATTTACGCATCAACATCAACTGATGTCGTTATCGTTGAACCTGTACCTGTGCGTATACAACTCGTAAACTATATTGGAATGTGTAAATATGATTTAGCTCTAATATTAATTAAAGCTGTTTTGGGTAATAATAATAATATTTTACAAGAGGGTGAACGTACAAGAGACGGTCATTGTCGTGGAAATATTGATCAAAAAAATTTAATTAAAGTATCATCTCTTATCACTAGTGAACAATCAAAAGTAAGTATCACGTTTTTCTTCCTAATAGGAGAAGGCATTCTACTGTTTATAATAGACCAGTCGTAACACAATTACTTTAGATTTTCTAACGAAACCGTTTTACTGAATGACATCTCTAAAATATTAGTATATATTGTGGTTTGTTCTAGAATAACAAAGAAGAACTTGACATGGAAAGTATTCGTCGCTCAAGTCGTACTGATAGTCAAACTGCATCATCTGAACAATTTTTATGGGAAGAATACTATAAAGTTGGTATTATGTATGGCTTTCAATTATTTCATCGTCAACAATTTGAACAATCATTTGAACAATTTACCGACTATTTAGCTGATCCATGTGAAGTTATTTCATTATTTCCAAGTATGATTGGTGAACGATGGATATATCAAAATCAATCATTTCGTCAATTTATTCAGCAACATAAACATTTTTCACCACCAGTCGATTTACTCGGTGTTCAATTAGATCATGCATTAAAACAATTACAAGACTATTTAACACACGTACGATCTGTCTATCAAAAAATATCAAGGTATTCGAATGAACAACAACATTGGATTGAAGTTGAATCATTAATGAGAAATCAATTGATATTAAAAAATGTTAAAGATTTATTGGTGGTTGTTGATACAGCATTGTTAAAATGTTATTTATTAGATAATAATAACACACTTGTTAATTCATTATTAAGAGTGGATAATAATTGTTTACAATCTGAAGTTGAATATGAATTAAAAAAACATCGAAAAATGGCAGAATTAATATCATTCTATGAAAAATATGATCGACATCAAGAAGCTCTCGATCTCATTATTAAAACAACTCAAAATAATGCATCAATAACAAATAAATATGAGTCAATAATAAAATATTTAAAAAAATTAGACAATGAACGCTTATTATTGATATTTGAATATATTAAACCAATATTGAAAGTAGCAATAAACGATAATAATGAACAATTAAAACAGCAAATATTAAACGTGCTTGCGGATGAGACTCAAGATACATCAAATAATAATCTTCAAACATCGCCACCAATGACAGCGCCAATTCGTTCATCAAAACTTGACTGTTTGAAAATATGTGAATTTTTAAATGAGATTAATCCTGATTTCTACATTATGTATCTTGATCATATTAAATTCAGAGATGATATTGAAAGTCATAGACGAGAAATACATAATCAATTAGTTTATGCTTATTGTAAACATATTAAACAATTGACTGAAAAATTAAAACCATTAGAAAAAACAAATGAAGAACAAAAAATTTCAGGTGAGTACAAAGTGTTGCATAAAAAAATTTTCTTCACAGAAAGTGGCTGGCGAAAAAAAGTTTTCTAAATTTTCGGCAGAAAGTTCCTTGTAGAAAACCGTCAAAGATTTTGTCGGAAAAATGTTTTTAGGGAGGGGTCAGCTCCCTCTTCCCTTATCAGGAAGTCTGTTCAAGGTACTGGTGTTCATACTCTTTAATGTATTCCTTAGCAAATGGTTATGCAACACCCTGTACAAGAGTTCTTATGATGTACAGAAATTGAGCGCCAACTGTTATAATATAGAAAGATAAACTCATGGGCGTAGACCACCTACGTTAGTCACCAGAGTATCCTAAAAAAAATAAAGCAAATGCTACGTCTTTCAAAGCAACTGTCTACGAAGAAGTGAACGATGAGCGTTTTTTTTCCTTGATACATCTTTTCTCATATCACAGAAATTACGCTGACAAACCCTTTTTATTTTATTTTAGATAATGATATAATGAACAGTACGTCTACCTCCACCCACGGTTTAGACATGTTGACGGGAAATGAGTTAAAAGTTGTTTTAGGATTAAAACGTCAATTAATCCTGTATGAAGACAAATTGAAAGACTTTCTATTAGATTCTCGATGTCGATGTGATTATGAAAAAATGGAAGCCTATTTTTTAAAAGAAAATAACGATAATAATTATTTATTTAATTTAAGTTATGGTATTGTACTCGGTAAACTATCAAAACATGAGCAAGCATTAGAAGTATTTATTCAAAATGGTTACTATACAGATGCTGAAAATTATTGTGAACAAATATATAATCAAGGACAAGTTAGTTTAGCACGAGATTTATATCGAAAATTATTAGAATGGTATTTACATAAAACAGATACAGAGCACAAGGAAACAGCATTAAAAACGATTTTACGTATTGTTGATACAGCATCGGAACGTTTGGATCCTGTACAAACATTAGAAATTTTACCTAATAATTTAGAATTAAAAAGTATTCGACGATTTTTAGAACAATCAATACAAACATGTTCAAAAACAAAACGAACAAATCAATTACAACGAAATTTATTATTTTTACAATTATTACAAGTACAAAAAACGCGTATTCAAAATGAATATTATTCATTTACAATGAATAATGATACAAAATGTGATCAATGTGATTCACCTATATCACCACAGCAAGCCGTCGTTCGATTTCCACAAAATCGTCTTGTTCATTTATTTTGTCGAGCAAAATATGAAAATAAAATGAATGAAACTAGTTATATGACAAAACGACGTTAATTAACGTTTCTGAGTAAATAGAACAATATGATTTTGTCGACTCACACTCTCTTTATTTCGACTTGTTTATCTAGTCCTTTTTTTTGCTCTATCAGAATCATAATGAAGTTCAATGATTCTTTTAAACTCATTGACTTCATTTTAGATTACTCTTTTTGTACAACTGATTAATATTTTCTTTGATTAATACAATGTAAGAATAATGATTATAGAAACCGTGAATGCATAGACTACTTTCATCTTTCAAAATTTGTAATTTTTTTAATATTGTATTAGTCATATATTTTTTTTTGTTTGATCACGCGACTGTGTTAATTTTAATACCTGTGGTTTTTTCGTACTACATAAAACGGTATTCCGATTCGTAGTGATTTTTTTGATTTTTTTGTCTGAAGACGATTATTTCTCTAGTAGAAATTAACGAAAACTGGTATTAAATTAACTTATACGCTTACATTATATAATTTCAGTTCGAGTTTATGAAAAATTTAATGAAAAAGAACAATCAACACTCGAAAGAATTGTTCTATCGTAATCATAATAATTTTGATTTCATTGCTTGGATAATAACTTCAATAACATTATCATAATATTATAGGAGTGGGTCTCTTGCGTAATGGTATAGTAGAGCTGAATAGGTTAGTTGAAAGTGAGCATTAGTGGAAGATCGAGTGATTAAATGTCACAATAAATAACACTGGTGGCATAAATAACTTTCCCTTAGCAGACAGAGACATGACGATTAAAGTTTATCTGAGTACTGTGATATCTCTTAAAACTCCTCTGGCAAGCATGCATTTTGAGAGTTATATATGATGTGGAAACGCCACGTCTCCTCTTTCGATCAGAACCGGGTTTTTTGTTTCGAAAAACGCGTTTTCCGGCTTTTTAAAGAAAGTTTTCTGGAAGCGCTTAGCAGCAGCAAAATTAGCCAAAAGATTAGTAATTTTTGGAAAAATTGAGCTCCGTTATGTCATAATGCCGAATGTTTACTTTAATTTAAGACGAACCCGTATTTTCTGAGGCTTAAGATTGAGAAAATTTTTTTATAAATGTCGAAACCCACTCGTTGAATCTTGTATCTGATATAACTTGAGAAAAACTAAAAATTCGAGCTAGAAATTTTAAGTGCGAGCTATTCTTGATAAGACTAACATTCATTGAAAATTTCATTAAGTTCGAACATGGAAATCGTTTTCTGAGTGGAGGAGGACCTTAAATGTTAACTCCGCTGTTTACAGGAACCATGTCCAATGATACATGTCTTTTACTCACCTGTCTAAAACAGATAGAAGCTCTTTCTTTTCAACTGACTCTAGTCAACGTTTATTATGCGCTGCGAACGCCTATTTACATAAAATTAAACTCGATTCTACAAAGTCTTCAACGTCAAAATTTCATTTTAAAATAAAAAATGGTATTAAAAACTGTGAATGATAGTACACGACAGCTATACAGATTCTCAATTATGAAACAGAAACGTGATCTTTCAGTATTTTTATTTTGATTAAACTAATTGAATAAATTCAAAGAGTAGTATGTTCTTCGTTGCGTTGAAATATGCAAAGATATTAGTCAATTACATTCTAAATCAATAGTTTTTGAGTGAAATAGTGTACGACAATACAAAGATTCCGTACTGAACTTATCTATTTCACCATATCATTTACATTCTCTGAGGTCATTTTTATTTGTATTAACTGAATTTTATTCAACCATACTCGACCGAAGACCGTCAGAATACTTAAGGAAAAAAGTTAATAAATTAGCTCATAATAGTCTTTAACACATTCACTGTTCACGTAATAATAACTACTTAAATTAAATGAATCATATATGATACATGAACAGTGAACGTGTTAAACATCGTTTTAAGATTTTCTATTAAAAATGTACGATAGACAAAACGATTACTAGAAAAACATTAGAAGAACATTTATAATAAACAGTTTAGAAATACAAAATGCAAAAAATTTAAAAAAAAATATTTAAATAATTAAGAAATGAATTTGTTAAAATATAAATAGATTATCGAATATTATGAACATTATTTCGAATAAAAACAGAGTGTAAAGATTGAATATAGTTTATGTAACGAAATATGCATATTTGATCATCAAAAGTTCTTCTTACTATCATTGTTTGATGTTCTATAATCATCATTTCCAGTAAGCTATATAATTAGATGTTATTAATATTACTTTTAATTTTTAGATATTTATTCATTTACCATCTGTCAGATATTCCTTCATCTATACAGAGAATATTATCATCTCGAATATATCCAACAATTGTTATTATTTTTTATAATTCATTTAATTCAGTATTATACTTATTTCGTTTTTCATATTTGAATGTAATCATCTAATTAAACATAAAAATCATGGAATTTGAAGAATTTGTCGAATCATTAGAATCATTACCCATTGATTTGAGTCGAAATTTACGTTTATTACGTGAATTAGATGATAAAAATTTACAATTAAGACAAGAATGTTTTCATATAAGTGATAAATTTAAACAAGAAATAGATAACATACAAAAACGTGAACATATTAAAATATTGAATGATATACAAATACGTCGATTACAATTAGCTGATGAAAAAGTTGTTTTAGCAGAACAAGCATCAGAATTATGCGAAAAACATATTCGACGTCTTGATGATATTCTAGATCACATTACTACACAACAATCGATAATGAAAATGTCCAATGTTCATAATAAAAAACGTTCATTATCACCATCAACCGACGATCAAAATCAAAATAATAATAAAAAACGTAAAACAAAACAAATATTAGATTCAGTATTAAATAAAAAACAATTACCCGAAACAAAAACATTTGTACGTGTACCAAAAAAATTGTTACAATCAACAACAACAAATAATATAACAACAGATCAGGAACGAATTAATATTGAAGAATATGGTATGGAAATTGATCCAAATGAACCACGTTATTGTACATGTAATCAAGTTAGTTTTGGTCGAATGATTAAATGTGATAATGAATCGTGTCCATTAGAATGGTTTCATTTTCAATGTGTCAATGTTGATGTTGCACCAAAATCAGATCAATTGTGGTTTTGTCCACAATGTAGAGAGAATATTAAACACAAATAGTTTATAAATTTCAAACATTTTTTAATTCTGTCATTTTTCTTATAAATTGTGTAACTAAACTCAACTATTTTCTTCTGCTATTATTTTTTCTTAAATACAATATGTCGCTAGTTTTGAATTAAATTATGAATGTTTATTATTATTATTTTTTTTTGTTAAATTTATTTACATTTTCGTCGTTTTGCTTTATTTTTATTGTACTGTATTAAGAAAAATTATTTTTTCGAATCGTATTAAATAAAATCTCTTTTTCCATCTCATCTTGGATTATTGTCATTCTTTTAAAATATTGGCACAGAATAGTGGTCACCAAAAAGTTTTCTCTATTTATGTAACGACGTTAAGGTTACTGAAAAAACCTAAACTACTCTCGTATAAGCTTGAATTTATTCAAAACTTTAATAGTTTTAAGTCAATCAGATCAAATAACTCTGGTGCCAAGTTCAGAGCTCTTCAGTACCTTGATTTGTAGATAAAATCTTGCTTATCAGAATGAGATGATCGCCTACTCTGCAGTTTCTTGAGAACTAGTTAAAATATCCTTATTTCGTTTTAGAACTTAGTTACAGCAGTGTATCTCAATGTTCGTGACATATATCTATATGAAAGACCCTGAAGAGTAGACGCGTATCTCATTCTGATAAGCAAGATTTTATCTACAAATCAAGATATCGGAGAGCTCTAGATGTTCTTTTTTTTCAGAAGATGTAAAAAGTGGAAAATATCGATAAAACGTAATGGAATTTTAAAATATTCAAAGGAATTTTCCTAAGTGTCCACCTCTGTTTTTAATGATATTAAGCCTGTAGTTAGAAACTATTGTTCTATGAAAAAGCCTAAAAGGATTTGTGCCCATGTGACTTCTTTCAAAAGTTATAAATTTTTTTGTTTGTTTATAGAAGGAGTCACAGTAACACTGAAGTTTTTGCATCTCGGTAAAAATAACCAGATAAGAGCTGAAATTTGTATTGCAAAAACTTCAATGTTACTGTGACTCCTTCCATAAGCAAACAAAAAAATTTATAACTTTTGAGAGAAGTCACATGGGCACAAATCCTTTTAGACTTTTTCATAGAACAATAGTCTCTAATTACAGGCTTAATATCATTGAAAATGGAGGCATTCAATTTTGCATACGCGCAAATAAAAAAAATAAAAATACGCCTTCACTATTAAAAAAACAAATTTATTCTATATTATTTCGTTGTTTATCTACAATAGTTATTCTCGCAAAAATTCGATCTCGTGCAGATTGTCATTGATATTAGTAGATATACTGAATCTTTTCTTTGTTTGCATAACCAGCAAATTAAACACTCTCACGTCATTAATTATTTAGCATTGCCGCAAACTTGTGGCTTTCTTTATTAAGACGCATGAGAAATTATCTTGAGCCATATTGTTTTCTCCTTTCGGTTACTAGGCAGGAGTCGTCAAGATTTGTTATTATTCTTTTATTGCCGATAAATCTGTTCACTCGCTTTTTCATAGATAGATGAGCTAATGACAATTTCGTGGCTGAATCGGTATCCATGTATATATCTGATACTGTTGTATTAAGTTATTCTTTTCCTTGATATTTTCAGCATTCTCTAGTATTTCATAAGCAAAATAACTGTTAACATGCTAGTTAGTGACATGCAGTGTATTTTCTACCTTCCATCACTGTTAAACTGTTTCGGACTATTCGATTCAGGCCACCTTCTGGTTCATAGAATAGTGAAGATTGTTGGGTTCTTTATTCATCCTATGCAAAAATTATTCTTTTATTTTCGTTTGCCAAAGCAAAGTTTCTAGGTTAAGTACAAATCTTTACTGTTTCAAACATATGATTCGCTACTTTATTCTCTTGCTTCAATAAATCTGTTCACTCAGTTTCATATCGACTGTACTGTTTTAGTTAGCAATCTCTAATGTTCGTCATACAACTTGTCATATTTTAAGTGATCCATGTTGTCCTGTCTGAAATCATCACTTTTGTATTTGAGATGGTGTAGATAATCATATTCTATTAGCTTTTCTCTGATTAATTCCTTTACAGTATTTGCTTAAATTTTTCAGAGAATGTTTTATGATAAGATTCAGCATCAATCAAAAATGTCTGTTTATCATCTTTTTGGAACAAGGCTCTGTTGCACCTTCAACTTACGTCAGGAAATTATCAGTTTCACTAAACAAGCTCGAGTACAAAGGGACTGAATCACCTAGTGCTTTCTCAAACTGGCGGATGCTTGAAGTAGCACACCACGCTAAAAACGATTCTATATACTTACAACACGCACATAAAAAAGGTAAGGCACTGTTGTTTTAATATGGCAGAAAAAAAGATTAAAAGAGCATCTAATCATACGCGCCGGCACCAGAGACCCGTCAATAGACTTAACTAGGTTTCAGTTCGTAGCTATTAGGGAAAACGTGTCGATAGTAAAGTCAAGAAGATAGAATATAATTTTAATCAATACAACTGCGATGGCAATATTTATTTTACAAGTTTTCTGAATAGTGGCTAAATTTTTATCAGATATTTTTCTTTGTACAATTCGGCCATGCAGCTGATTCGCTCTGCGGTTTGAGTACTCCCATTAAAGTAACCAAGCGTGCGGCTTTGCTTGGATGTTTTTTTTCCTCATCCATCAATTCGCCTTCTTTTCGGTGTTTTTGAGCATATTCTTGTGGCATCGATTTTTCTTTGTCGATGTTTATCGATTTTATTTGTCTTTTCAATCGTTCTTCATCTTCGTGTATAGTTATTAATGATAATTCGTACCAATTGTCGATATTACAAAATAATTTTTGATGAAAACGATGATAGATTTCTTTTTGAGCATTAAATATCAGAGAAGAACTTACTGTATTAGCTATAAATGCTTTTAATTTACTTTTTTCATCCGTTGATATTTCAACAAGTTTATAACAACACATTATCGGCACATCATCTAGTTGTGATGAATGTTTTTCTGCTTGATTATGTTGATGATTTGATGTTAATGATTCCCACCATGATTTTGAAAATGGATTACGTTCTATTTTTTTTGATTGACATAATAATGGATCTTCTTCTTTTTTGTAATCATCATTGACTTTACTGGCAATATTGATTATTTCAATAGTACGTTTATCAAGTTGGTCTTTAGTTAAATGAAATGGATTGTCTGTGGTACCTGAATCTTGAAGGTATACAGATTGAATTGTTATTGTAATTCTATGTTCTTCATTTTTAATTATTGTCAGCGTATACGGATAATCATACCAACTACATTCGTCTAATTCAATACCATTACCACTTGACTTTGATGATATTAGATCAAGAAATTTTGGCGTTTGATTTGTTAAATTATATTTTTTATGTGTATGAATACCTTTTAATGGACGATGTACACTGGCAGATATTTCGTACTCCTTTTTCGGTTCATCAATAAATGTTACACAATTCTGACACGATATCCAAGTTTCCCTCAAAATTTGTAATTCTGTCCATTGCTGACCGATTTTATATTCGTCAACAGTCAATGGTAATGGTATACGAAATTCTTTGTATCTCATTTTTTGTTCTACTGAAAACAATCTAAATGATTAACTTAACAATTGAAGACGATCATTCGGTTCTGAGTTTGCTCTGTGTAAGATGTAAACAAAACAAATAGATAGATAAGTATTTTTGACAAAATACTAAGTCGAGTGAGAATGATAGATAGAGAGAGAGAGAAGTAATTCAATGATATATTTGCCCTAGCAACAATAGAAATTTCTTTCTATGCGCCGTTTCCAGTGAAGCAGATCCGACATTTTTAGACTGCAGGCTGCGCATCCCATAAACAAAACGTATAATAAACTTTTATGTTGTACTCCTTTATGAGCAACGCAAAGCAGCGATCAAGTGGTTATTATATATATATTAGGCTGGGAGTAGTCTAAGGTGTCAGATTCCAAAATAAGGAAAGTTGCTGATCAACCATGAACCGCTAAATAAGTCATTTGTTTCCTAGATTTACTCATAACAAATTCCGTATTGGTACAGCCGATACTGAATTTTAGGATGGCTCTTAGGATTCTACTTGCGTCAAGATCGAAATCCCTACATGAAATTGTAATTCTACTGATAGAAGGAGGATATATTACCGATTAAAAGAAAGTGAGACTTTTAGTGTATAGTGATATATAGTTAGTTATACACAGATGTTTTGTTCGTTAGATATTAGACGAGAGATTTCATTATTTCTATTAGATGTATTTTCGTTATTACATAAAACAGCAATCAAGCAATGATTTGAAAGATTATCGTTGTATTAAAATCCAGTACAAGTACTATAGGTGTATTAAAACCCATCACGTGAATTATTATAATTAATAACACTACCAGGTTCCTTTTCACATGTTCAATTTACATTCCTCAAGTCTGATATAAGAACAGATATAATAACTTGAGTATTTATGTTTATTCAACTCTTGATTTTGCCAGTAGTATTTTTACATTTTACTTACTGTCTTGAGAAAAACGCGTTTATCACCATTTTCCACCATTTTCAGGGCTACCAAAGAACGACAGCGTTCTTAAGAACACATTCGATAGTAGCCGTATTTTGGGCACAAGAACGCATCTGAAAAAATACATTAGAACTCGTAAGAACGCGTTCTCAAGATTAAATTGACACTCGACCGCCTTATTCCCTTAAAATATATAATGCTAAATTTTTGTCCTTCTAACCGAAGTTTATATCATTAGAGCGACGATTATCTCTATCTCTTTAAAAAGATCTGTAACGTTAATCACCTTAAAAGAATAGAGAAAATCTGTTTCTGGAAGAAATTGAAGAGACGGTTAGCTGCAAAACACCAATCGTACTTTGTTAAAAGACTGAACAACAGGTTTGTGAGAAAATATTCAAAAGTGAAGGTCATTGACAATATTCTCGGAACATGATCAAAGATCCTGTTGTAATTTTAAGATCTCAAAGGTAGAAATTCTTTATTGCAAACTAAAAAACTCAACTTTTTATAAAAAAATTTAATGAAAACAAATATGAGTGAAGATATGTATATAATTATAAGCAAAATCTTTTCAGAAAAAAGGAAGAGTAGAAAGAGAAAAAGATTCAGATCATTAAAGGCAAGATTGCGGTCAAAAATTCACCAGAATAAAAGGAACATTCGGAAGGCACATTCGTTCGTTTCTCACAAGTTACAAGCAAAGGAAAAACCTGAGTTTGCATTCTGGCACAGGCGCAATTCATTAAAATATAAGTTAAGTAATTATTGTAAGAAAAATATTACAAAAAAAGGCACTTGCTCATATGCACAAAAGAGTGTAAGTTTTTAAATCTGACTCTAATAACAAAATAATACAAGATAAGATTTTAACAGCAAAGGCACTTATGAACGAGAGTCACCAATTTCAAAATAAATTGTTTTTTTTTGCTACACACCACATTTGTTCCTATATCAAATTTTAATATCGGGGAGCGTCATTTTTTCTAACCGTTTTGACGTATTATCCATAAATGGCATTTTAAAATCGTGCAAATTCACTTCCCATCCATATCGCTCGCGCAAAACGCCCTTTTCTCGACTCGTATCTTGAGTGGATGACTGTTCTGGCCATTTCGCTTTTGGATGAAATGGAATTGATTCAGCAGCTTCAAACGATTTTGCTAGTTCAGCTGCTGCCTGCAAGAGAGAAACACGTTGTGCTTGTGTTCGTTGTAGTGGTTGTAGTGGTTGTATTGCCGGTAATGTAGTAACAGAATGCTAAAAACACAATAGTATGAAAATATATTACTGTTGTGTGTTGTTATTTCTAGCTCATACAATTTCTGTTTTTGCTTTGTCCGCTGTTTCCGGTTGGTTTTTAGAATCTGAATTACTTTTCGATTTTGGCACACTGTTTACTCTTTCATGAAGTAAATGATAAATTCTTGGATCAGCAAATTCAGCGGCTACTGTCAATGGTTCCAAACCTAGAAGAATTTTATTCTATCATGCAATGTATCCATAATAAGAAAGAAATTATTAGAAACGCACCAGAAATATTTTCGTGATTAACTTTCGCCCCTTTATTTATTAAAAATTCAACGACGGGAAATGACGAACTTTCGACTGCACGCATTAATGGAGTCGCTTTTGTCACTGATTCAGCATTTATCTGTGCACCGGCTTCGACAATTACTTTAACAACATCGATTTGTCCAGAATGAGCAGCATGATGTAACGCTAAAATATTCCATATATCGTATTACACATGTTTTGGTTTTAAACAAAACATACACTACGGTTACATGACATTCTGAATCGCGATTAAATACTATATTAATGCTTAGTCCTAATTAATATGATGTTAAATACTTGAAAAAGAAATGACTTTTTAATTTTGTACTGAACAATTTAAAGTTAGTAAAAGTAATGTAACATTGAAAAATTATTGTTGTCTTATTTTTTCATACAATTTATTTCGACGTTAAATTCCATTATGTAGAATGAGTACCAGGTGTCATCGTGGACGCCCGAAAACCTTTCAACTAGTGCTTTCAAATTTTTTATGTGATTTCCGATGATTGGCTATGAACTGCTTTCTTATTTCAACAGACATCCTATTTTCCCACGATTATAAGATAATTGATGAGTAAGCCTAGATGAACCGTCTACGATAGACATACTTCACTCGTGCATCAATCGCAGAAATCACTACACTCATTGCTTATAAACTTATGTAGAAAATGAGTGACATTCAGTTCTTCGACGCATTTATCGGTTTCTGCTAGTCATGAACAGTGTATAGCCATTCATACGATAATTATCGTTAATTATGATTAAAAATAATAGCGTTGGCTTAGTACATTACCTGTCCATTTAAAATTATCCGCCATATTAACATCGGCTCTAAAAATTGAGATTGATATATAGACTTCTTTTAATTTTATTTTCATAATATATACCCGCACGTTAACAAAAACCGAACAGTATTCAAATCTCCATGTGAACAAGCTAAATGAAATCAAGTGGTATAGCAATTTTTAACAGATAGTCGACATCTTTTCTTACCAACCATTAACGGTGTTTTCATGAATTTATCAGTGATATCAACAGGTATTCCATGTCTATAAGCGTCGAGTAACGTTTGTAAATCACCTCTATACGCTGCATCACAAAGATTAGTAAATGCCAGATCTGGTTTATTCAAATACCATGGTGCTTTAGAAGAAAAGATTAGAAAAAATGATATGTCTCTGAGAACAAAGATATAATTACAATCATCTTCGAGAGCATGTTTCGGTGGATTAGCTCGTGAAAATCTTGTATTATCTGTATGATGAATGTGTTGTGGTTGATATATTAGAGGAGGATTACCACCGGTTGTTCTGGGTCCTTCATCTTGAATGGCGACTATGTAAAAGAAAAAGCTCAGTTTGAACAACTCGTTTTATATTTTAGAACGATCACGAACACTTACTTGGTAGTACACCTTTTTGTGTTTTGCCTTTTTTTGGTTTTTTCTTCTTTTTCTTTTTGCTCTCGAACGATGACATTAAATAAGGTTTCGTCATATACTTTTTTCCGGTTAGAAATGCTTTATAATCTAATTCATTTTTCTCTTTTTCATGTTTTTCTACAATTTCTTTAATATCCTCCGTTTTAAAAAACGTTAATAAACCTTCATCTTCAAGAAACTTTTTAAAATTATCAGCCGAAATCGTTCCAGTTTTAGCTTCATCCATTTCGTCAAAAAATTTTTCAATACGTTCACGATGTTCATAGATGTAATCGTATAATAGTAACTTCCAGTCACGATACTCGTTCATTTCTACGAGATTGATTAAGTGCTTTTGTAAGATTGATTGAATACTAAGCGATATTTCAAATCAAACAAGATACTGTACCTGGACGCAAATTTGCACTCATAGCATTGTAGAATTTCTCGGCTTTACGCATATTCTTTTTTGCATCTTTTGCCTTGTTTTGATCAGCGATTTTCTTCGGTATGAGTCCTTCCAAATTTTTTACTTTTGGATTACAACCTGTAATATAGCAAATAGTTGATATTTCTGTCGTCAATCAAATAGACTCAAATTCGTACCTCTTTGACCAAGAAAACGTATAGCATTTCCCGCGTTTGAACCTGCTGCATAATGTATTGGATTATTACCTAAACTATCATAAACGTCAAATTTGGCACCATAGCCAGATAATACTTGAATCACCTAAAATAAAAGAAACATCTCAGCTAATATGAGAAGGTAAAAATTAAACTGATAAGGTAAAATTTCAAAAATCTATTTACGTTTGAGATCTGTATTAGATAGATTAGCGTAAAAAAGTGCTTTTAATGATTTTTGAATAATTTAATAAATTTTTAAAATGGAGAGAAATAAGTTCAGGAAGACAACAAAATTTTTTTAAATATATAATTGTATGTTTCAATTCTTCTACTTTTTGAAATACTATATTCTACTTACGGAAAGGAAACTATATGACATTTTCGAAGAATAATTTCGAAAAAAATATTCATTTCATCAGCAAACATGGACATGGACAACGAGACCGATTAGTCCATGTACATCAGCACACACGGACAGAAAAAGTTATCCCATGCAGACCTCTAATTTACATCCATTATTGCCTACTTTACCTCAACGTGACCTCCTTTTGCTGCCTCATGAACAGGTGATGAAAGTTTATTGTCTAATGCATTGACATCAGCTTTATTCCGAAGTAATGCTCGTACAACATTTGCATTTCCAGATAGACATGCGTTATGAAGAGCTGTTCGTTTTGTTTTCTAATAATGAGCAAAAATATGTGTCAGTAATAATATTATTTGAAGTTTGAATGATCTTCTATTATTTCACCTCTAACCTCATCGACGAGTTTAGTATCTGCTCCATGCTGAATTAAACTTAAACAAAATTCTTCTTTTTCCACCGATTCTGAACATACATAAACCAAATTGGGTAAACCTTCATGTGTTCGATTATTCACGTCCCCGCCCATTTCTAATACAAGCTTTAAGCATAATTTATGACGGTTTGTTGGCTCAGTAAAACAATAATAAAGAGCATCTTTAATGAAATATAATCAAATATGTATATTTAGCTATAGATTTCATATTAATTTTTTAGTTTCAAACCTTTTCCTTCTAAATCTTGAAGTTTTGGATCTGCTTTAGCATCTTTGAGCAATCGTAATGCACTAACATGGCCATATTCCACAGCATGCATCATTGCAGTACGACCGTTGAAATCAATCACATCGGGATGTGCACCTAACTGTATCAAATATTGTATCATTTTCTCATTATTTTCTGTGATAGCAGCAATCAATGCTGTCAGACCACATTGAGGATCATTATAATTAACTAAATAATCGACACCTTTTTCACATAATTTTTTTACTTGCTCATAATCTTCTATTCTGACAGCATAAATGAGTTTTTGTACTTGTAATTGTTCAACTCGATCTCCTATAAGTTCAAAATTATTTTCATATCACCCAATCGAAAAATTCTAAAAGCTCCTTCAGTCAAAACCGATTGCAGATTCGTCTCCTCCATAGTCAATTATATTGTACGTGATAACGTTTAGATTGGGATACTTGAGGAAAGTTTTTCGACATCGTTTTTGACTCTAGTCCCATGCAGTGACTTTTTCGAAAATTTTTGAGCAAAACCATGCGCAAGTTTTTTCCTGAAGTACGTCTATCCAAAAGTTATCCCGTACAAGATAAGATAATCGACTATGAAGAAGACGAATCTCCAATCAATTTTGACCGAAGAAGCTTTTAAAATTTTTCAATTTGGTGTTATGTTTACAATTCGTTAAAAAAAAGACGTTCAAAATAAGCTTACTTGCAATAGGCATTTTGTTGTTTTCAACGGTTGCAGACCATAAATTTAATAAAACTAAATAAGAAGAAAAAATGTTAAGTTTATAGTCTATAATAGCTATTTTAAACTGTTGTTCATATCTTACACTTTAGATGAATATGTACATCTGAAAGTATAGATTAACACAAATAGTTATAAGAGTTAGACTAACAACATTATCTTTTTCGAACTACACCGTAACCTTGAAAATTATTTATCGAAAATCGAAAAAAAAAAAACACCGACTTTTTTAAGATTCTTGAAAATCGACACTGATTTTCTATAAATACTTACCAAGAATCTAGAAAATCAAGGAGAATTTTCTAGATTCTTGGGAATTCGATTTTCTATAAAATAGAAAATCCTCGCCGATTTCATATATGGACTTTCTGAAAATCAACGGCGATTTTCTATAAATAATTTTCAAAATTATAGTGCACGAGAGCATGCTGGCACTTAATCTAAAAAGGAGCAATCTAAAAATAAAAATAAAATTAATCTGGAAAAACAAGCGTCAGTTTTCGTCGAACTTTGCACTTTTAATATACTTCTGCAGACGCAAAACAAAACGGTAAATATGTTGAGTATTGTCCCCATGGAGAAATCTTGAAAATTATTTATAGAAAATCAATCGATTTTCTATAAATCTGAAATCCTCCTTGATTTTCAAGGTTCTAGAAAATCAACTTTTTCTATAAAGTTGGAAAATCGATGAGGATTTTCTATAAATTTGAAAATCCTGAGGGATTTTATAGTGTATTTCCTATAAAATTGAAAATAATTCAAGATTACAGTGTACGCTTTATCTGATAATTCTAGAGACTTCGAAAAAGAAACACTTGTCTTTTTCTATGTGACAGAATTTTTTTAGTTTTTGGGATAGTCTCCCCTCTGCTAGTAACTGGAAAAAAAACATATATTCTCTCTGTTGTAAGAAAATGCTTTATTCTTCTTGTCATTCAATTCCCGTAATTGTTTTATAATCTTTATTTTAGTAAGCAGATAACAGTACCAAACGCAATGCCATTGATTAGATAGTAACTATAGATACGCAGTGTTTCTTTAACTATTTAGTTAATCAAGAGATGGATCCACTTGACCATACAGTTGTAGTATTGTTTACACAACAGAGCCACTGCGAAGTAAGGTAAATGTGAATCCTGTCTTTTAGTGTTCGGCTCATTATCTTTCTGAATCGTGAATAAGAAACCAAGAAACACTAGGCAAGGAAAGGCTGTTGGATTTTTACTTTATTGCTATTGCAAGGTAGACATTTTAAGGAAAAACACTTGAAAGATGTCGCATCTTCCAGTCAACCCAAAATTGGTGCGTAAGATTAATGACACGAATACTTATGACTACCCAAGAACTCATAGTTTATGAGCAATAATTGGGTATTTATGTAAGTGCTAAAACACTTATACTGAAATGTGAAGTACTCGTGTCATTTTTGTTCTTAAGCACTTATATTGAGGAGTACAAATGTTTTGCTATTTTCACTATGAATAGTCGGTAGAGTTGTGGACTTCGTTGAGTGATAAACTATAGATTTTCATAAATGTATAGTTTCATGTATAGGATCGAATAAGTTTTGAATTAAGGTCTTCAGATGTTCGGTTTAAGTCAGAAAGTGGGTTTTAATGTTGGATAAAATAAAATGTAAGTAATCTTACCCACAGGATCTTTTTTTCCCTATTTATAGCGTTATAACGCTATAAAACAGGGTTTTTCTTAGATTATGGTGTTACAACGCTATAGATTTATCTCATTACAACGCGATAGACGTATCCCGTCGTCTTATAACGCGTTGTAAAGTTATTTTTCAGGAATTTATGGTTCCTGAAAAATAACTTGTTGTAATTAAAGTTGTTAGTTAATAAAGTTGTAATTGGATAAAAATTTCCATTGCATCACCCACAGCACACCTATTATCACTATCACATGTAGCGTCACAACGCCTAAACAGTTAACGCATTGCAGTGCCATAAATTTATAACGTAATAATGTGTTAGATGTTATAGCAGTATAATACATTAACCTGTAACACGTTGCAACACGTTACAGATTAATGCGTTATAATGCAATAGGAATTTAGTAACGCCTTGTAACTGTATACAAAATATTAACGAATTAGTCTAGATTATAGCGTTGTAACGTTATAAAATATGAGGAGGTCGTTGATAAAAATGCATTATAACACTATAATTTCAATTTTTTGGCAGCTTTTTCCACGTAACGCGTTATGCTAATGCGCTACAATGCATTAAAAACATGTTTTTTCTAAATTTATCGCGTTGTAACGCAATAGAAAACCTAACACATTACAAGACATTACGATATGTCTAACGCATTATAATGTAATAAATAGAAAAAAAAGATCCTGTACGTACTCAGTTCAAATCCTATCAAAAAAACTGCTGATGATAAAATAGCTGTCGATCATAGTCGGGGCTGAGTACTTTCAAATGCAAATTAACAACAGACATTTTTGCGGTGACTGTCTTCTGTCCTCTACATGGACAGCAGACAAATAGTAACATATCTCTTACAGATAACTCTTTAAAGGCCTATATCACAGCTGATTTAACTTGAAAAACATTTCTCAAGTCAAACCCCAAAATATTTTGGACCAAGTCAAGCCAAGTTACTTGTACTTGAGGTATTTTTGAGTTGACTTCCCAGCTCTGGTGTAGAGCTATGATCGTCCAAATGTTAACAGATCTAAATGAATATTCTGTTAGATATATCATTCTGCAATGTTTATTTACTTGCAGAATTATAGGGGTAATTGTTGCAGCAGAATAACAGCAGCTAGTTGAAAGTTGCGATCAAGGACGAATGATAAGAAAAATTGATAGAAATAGCACAGTTTGTTAAATCACCAAAATCAAGGATTTTCATCTTTTCTTTATTAAAAACTATATTTTGAAAAAGTAATCACTTATATTTTGGTAAAAGCCCTAGACGTTATTTCAAAATTGTTTTATATATTTAAATAGGGATATATATCCCTCACTTATACTCATATTTTCAGCTCAAAAAAATAGTTAAAAATATATTCACTTTCAATCAGAAATAGCTGAAAAACAACGTTTTTGCTACATGTATGGCCGAAAAGTAAAATTTAGAAGTAGAGGCGGATACGACTTAATATTCGTGATCCGATTGTATATATGTCAACTAATTTTGGCCCGACGTATTGTCAAAATTTAAAAATATTTTCGAAAGGTCAGAATTTTGTGGATATACGAAGTTTCATGCTCTATCGAACGAACTTTTGAACGAAATTAATATTTTATTATTACAAAATAAATTTTAATTTTGTCAAAATTTCAGTCTAATGCGCATGTCTTTCCGAGAACAGTTTCCGCTTTGTGAAGCGGTGAGATTCGGATAGAATTCAAAATTCGGAGTATATACAAAAATTTTGAGTATATGTTTTGAGAACCGATCTCAGGATATTCGAAAGATTGAATAAATTTTTTATGCAAGCACATGACATCATAGAGTCATACTGCACATGGAAAATAGAAAAGAAAATTATGTTTTCTTTCCGTTTTCTATGTAGTTCAGAGTCGAATAAAATAAAAAAATTAATTTAATATGACTTTTTATTCAAAATGAACTTCATATTCGTAATTCAGATGAAAAGCTGAATCAAATTGTATAAAATTCCATCAGATTTTTCACTTTTTTCTCAGATCTTTGAACAGCGAAAAATATACGTGTGCGACATCATTTTCGTTCTTTCCCTTTTGTAGGGTATTTACCAATGGAAAAGTGCTTCAGTTCGATATATTCTGGATCCTTATCTTCGGCTGAAAGAAGACAAGCAGAGTTTTTTCAGAGTTTCTGAGTTTTTTCCTGTCGGCCACCGTCTTCAAAATTCTCAAAATGTCCCAGTGTTTCTTAATGTGAGGTTGGAGGCCACTTGTGAAACATGACGATGTGTGATCATCAGCTGAAGTTATCTTCTTAACGGCCATCAATTGGTGATTATCTGCTTACGGGTACCTCATTGAGAAACAGTAGAATCTTTAGAACAAAAGTCTATTTTAGGAGGAAAAGCTTCTCACAAAATTCGATTGAACAAAAGTCATTTACAATTAGCGGAGAAAAAGGATCATTTATCGTTATTTATCATTTCCCTCTTTTATTTGTTTTGAACGAGTTTTCAGCAAGGGACGAAAAGCAGCATCTAGTGCTGAATAGGGTGCTGAAAAATGCCGTAAGGTACTGCCTTGCAAAACATACGGTATAGGATCGAATCACACGTTGCACGGATCCTTTTGTATACGAATAAACTTGGAGAAGGAAGTTTGGCTGCATTTACATCATACTGCTAAGAAGACAACAATATTTGTAAATCGAATATAGACCTGCTATGAATAGCAGTTCTATATTCGATTTACAAATACTTATTTCCAACTGCTCTACCAACAAAAGACAACAATACTTTATTTTTGATTCAAATGGAAGCAAAATAATAAAAAGATGTTCGTGGTCGGATTCGATCCTTTTACCCATCCGCCATCTTGAAGTTTATGAAGCGAGAACGTTACTGATAAACTAAATCGATAGTTTTGGGTGCCGCAAAGGTGCTGAGGTACTATACTAAAAAAAGCGCTTTCTCCCCCCCCCCTTGATTTTCAGCCATTATTTGTAGAAAACTAGTCTTTGATAGCAATTGTAGAATTTCATCTATAGATTGTGCGTACCCAAATATGCTATTTTTCTTTAGAGGCATTTTAGATAACTAGCAGAAAAAGCATATTCTTTTAGCTAGTCGTACGAAAGCGTACTGAGAGTGGAGAGAAAAGGTTTAAACAATTGCGTAACAAGATCATTATTTCGTTGTTACGAAAAGAAAAAAACTAGAATTGATCATAAAAAAATCCAAGGACACAATTTTGGTCCGATACAAAAAAAAATTCTATAAAGATACATCAGAAAAGATACCAGCTACACTTTCGTACGGAAACACAATCGCCGGTAACGGTAAATCGAAAGCCGAAGCATTTAGTAAACATTTTGCGAACTCATTTTCTACGATGAAAGGATCATCACTTGTATCAAACCGAACCCTTATTGAAATGAGAGCATTTGAAATTACTATGCCGGAAGTTTTTTCAACTATTACTTCAACTAAAGAATAAAAAGTTGATCAGTACAAATAACGTCACTATTGAACTTTAGAAAAAGGCGCTGAAGTTCTTGCTCCACAGCACCAACAAATATTTGATCGATCGATTAAAATGGGCAAATTGCCAAATCTGCGAAAGAACGCAATTATAAAACCGATCTTTAAAAACGGGGACCGAGCGACGGTAGAAAATTATAGGCCCGTCTCTTTTCTTTCCAATACCAGTAAGGTGTTGGAAGGAATTGTTCTCGACAAGTTGATCACGCATCTTGACGAAAACAATTTTTTTAACAAAGCTCAGTTCGATTTCAGAATAAAGTAATCTACAATTGATGCATTGACCTATCTAACGCATGATATCTCCATGCTAATGGATAATAAAACAGAATGCGTTGGCATTTCGTTTGATTTTGCCAAAGCTTCTGACCGTGCTCCATCAACTGCTTTTAAATAAACGAAATGCTGCTGGGGTCTACATATATATCATTTAAACTTCTTTTTTATTCATTAGGTTTGCTTCTTTGTAAGGCGGATGTCGTAAGAGACCTTTCTGCTGGTTCTTCTTGTCATAACCTTGCGATTTTTCATCTGTTTGACAATATATAATGAAATGAAAAGCACCATCTCTATACTCTGAGAACTTTTAAAATAATCAGAAACGTATTACTAGTTTAAGATATTATAACAAGGGTATCAATATTTTTTATCACCAAATTAATTAGTAGATAAACAACAAAAAATGATATAAAGAAAATATATACACAACAATAATATAAAAGGAATATAAAGAGCAATATATATACAATAAGAAATATGTTTCATTTGATCTCCTTAGATCATAATGGTTTTTATCAACTCTTTTTATAATTATAGATAAATATTTTTCCTTCATAATAAACTTTATTTATTTCTAAACGTTTCGGTTATCGTAATCAGTGGATACAACCAATTAATTAAATTAAGCTAAAATACAGAAATTGAACAAAATTTCCTTTTTTTAATAATACATAGAGACTTCTGACATATACAGTAGATGACAAAAACTGTATCATGACGGCAACTTCAACCGTTGATAATAAAATTTCAAAAAACTTCAATCGTTGACTTTTCAGAGTTTTTCCCCATCGTTTTTGATGAATCCTACCTCATTTTAGTTTAAACACTAGTTGTTTTTGCGGTTCAGTCGAAAGAAATTTCTTCTTAACATAAAAATCTTCTACATGTTTGGTTCCCTTTCTTATGCTTTTTCTTTTAAATTTTGTAACTTGTACAAGCAAGAATTCTCTAGGTTATGAAAGAAAAGAAGAAAAAGATAATATAAAAAGTTAAAGATGCTCTGTCATGATACAGTTTTTGTCATCTACTGTATATATGTCAGAAGTCTCTATGTATTATTAAAAAAAGGAAATTTTGTTCAATTTCTGTATTTTAGCTTAATTTAATTAATTGGTTGTATCCACTGATTACGATAACCGAAACGTTTGGAAATAAATAAAGTTTATTACAAAGGAAAAATATTTATCTATAATTATAAAAAGAGTTGATAAAAACCATCCTCTTTATATTCTTTTTATATTATTGTTGTGTATATATTTTCTTTATATTCTTTTTGTTGTCTATCTACCAATTAATTTGGTGATCATTTCGTAATGAATAAATTCGGTGATCAAAAGTCACTTTTTCGGTGATCAAAACACATTTTTCCCTTATGTTTTCAGTGCATTTTATCATGTCAACATTTGAAGAACTGACAAAAGTACTTTTGAATCGTACGCCATTACCTGCTCTTGTAGCACCGCATCCATCTAATCGTTCCCAGCGCGTGATTAGTACACCGTGGAATCCAAAAATCACCGAACAACTTCAACAACTTCAAAACTCATCTTCTCCACCACCTCTTGTCGCTTTAGCAGCTTTACATTTGCTTAATGACGATATTGGTTCTTGTCATGATATCGTTGAGAAACGTGAAGGTGAAGGTATATGTGATTATCTACACGCTATTCTACATCGTCGTGAAGGTGATTATTGGAATTCAAAATATTGGTGCCGTCGTGTAAAAGGAAAGGAATTTGAATCGATCTATGGTGAAGACAAATATCGACGATTTGGTAATAGCACAGCTAGTGGCCTTGAAGAAGCGCGTAAACGAGCACAAGCCTATGTCGATCGTTGTGAAGCGGTAACTAAGAGTGGAATTAAGGATGAAGAAGAAGAGTTGAAAAGCTTACAATATGATGAGATGAAGAAAGTGTTTGAGTTTGCGCGTGGAAATTTTTCGGCGTAAAAGTCTTTTTTATAATTTTGATCTTTATAATTTTAATAAAACATGATTTGTTTGTTTAACTTTTTGAGTTTTGTTAAAGCAGTCATCTCTATGGTCAAGTGCTGTTTGCTTGAACCTGATGAACTCGTTGATTTTATCGTTAGCGACGAATGGTGTCGATGATAAATTCTCAATGAATTTACCCATCATCTACGAGGTTATTGTTGTTGTTGTAAACAGGAGCCAAAACAACATATTTTTTTTATTGTTCTTCATCATTTTGAATTACTTTTGCAATATGATACAATGTCGTCATCAGCCATGACATTATTATTATATATTCTATATTAAATTGAAAGACTTAATATTATTAATGTACACTGATTATGATTAGTTTAAATCGATTCATGATTTAACAACAGAACACGCGGTTGAATGCGGACCTTAACTTATAATGAGCAATTGCAATTTTTACCCAGCTTATATATGCATAGAGTTAGGTGGTATCTTGTAACAATTCACAACAACATCTATTTATCTGTCATCTGGTAAACGTCAATTTGTGGAAGGAACGAATTATGATATATGGAGAGGCTCAGATTATGTACCACTGACTATCGGAGATATCGATTGCGTGGTGTTTATGGCAGTCTAATTAAGGAAAATTCAAATTCGAACTTGATATAAGTTACCAGATACACGGCTGAGGTAAATTCAAGCGGTTAGCACACGGAGAAAGACTACTCTGTTGTCATTTTAGATTAATATCAATTATTAAAATAAAAGATCAGTGTTACGCTCACATCAGAATTAAAATTACTTCACGATACAACAAAATGATTTTAATTGTTGATTAGTTATGTATTGTCCGATTATTGGTAAAAATGTTTCTTGATGTGTCAAACATGTCAGCAATGTATCAGATCGTTTTACAGAAATCATGAGCAAATCAGTTGGCAATAAGACGGATGGTATTAATAGAAAATTAACCGAAATATTTTTTATTTAATATCATATGATTGCATAAAATGCATTGCATCATTCATTCAATTTCAAATCGATTATTTACTCTTCTAGTTAAGTAACCATTTGAAAAAGAATTTAGATTAATAACAACATTTATTTTTTCAAATATAAAACTTACTTTTGATACACACTGTCTTTTGAATAAAAGTGATACCTGATGAAATCGTGACGTTTATGTCATATTAACAGAAGAAGTGCCAGTTTAGCTCGAATAAATGTGGGAATTGTACGATTTTCAACGCTTATGAAAAGGCTAAACGAGAATAGTCACAAAATATCGTTAAAAAAAAACGACCAAAACACGCGTCTCAGGGACAATTTTTTTGTGGCTATGTATGTATACAGAACCTAATACATATCAAATTTTTACCAACGGTCTAACAAAGGGTACAATGACAGGTTTCTTGTTGGAAATGGGGTTCATATTCGTTATAAATTAATGTCACATTGTTGATAATGAAAAATAGTTGGTAGAAAGTTAAAAGTTTATATACTTATAAATGAATCACACTTTTCATCTTCAAGTTTCAAATAGTATAAAGTGCTCATCTTTCTCAAGCACGATGGGCACCATTAGTTATTAAAATGCAAACTTGATTAACTTTTGTATAACTACCTATTCGACGTATAAAAAAATGTTATAATATAAAAACAAGAAAATATTCAAGTACAAATGGGAAATGCTCTAAAAGAATATTTCAAAGCACAAAAAGTATATCTCTATCATTTGTGTCTTTATTGTGGGTATCTAAACAAGAAATCTGGTTTATAAAAATCCTTTCAGAATCAAGAAGTTGTTTGAATGTTAAAACATCATTCTGTCATCTAGTTTACTTTATTGTACGGTTTTTCATCATAAATTTAACACACTTTAGAAATGTTTCAAATCAATTCTTAATTTGTGATCATGTTTCGTGGAGTCGGGATAAACTTAAGTCGAAATGAATACTTGAGTCGACACGTCAGATTTTTGATGAAATACCAGAAAGTAAATAAACGCTTGACTAAGATTAGCGCGAGACTTAAGTGAACGTCGATGAAACGATCCTGTGGATCTCTGAAAGTGTGTTCTAACGTACATGGGAAAAGGAAAACAACTTTATGAAAAACCGACAAATTCTCTCCGTCAACGATGTCAAACAGATCAAGTCCGCATTTTCATGTATCTGCCTTTTCCTCTATTGCTGTATGATCTTTAGTCTAAAGTAAATATATCTAAATCTAAGTAGATAGACAGTACCAAACGTGATGCCATTGATCAGATAGTAACTATAGATACGCAGTGTTTCTTTAACTATTTAGTTAATCAAGAGATGGATTCAATTGACCATACAGCTGTAGTATTGTTAACACAACACAATCGTATTCTTGACATTCAAGTGCAGACTTGAATTTAGTAACTTTTAATGAGATCTATTGGTTGTTGAAACTGCTAGTTATAGTATTCCAGTATTCCTATTTTTCGTGGATTATTAATATATACCGTATAAATATAACCAAAAAAGGAAAAATGTACTGATTTCTCTGTTCTATGAATGCAATTATTTGTACATATACACATCCTGTTTCTCTGTATCATCCCTTTACGTTCTTCTCTTCTTTCTCTATTTCTCTAGTTAATTCTCTACGCTTTGACCTTAGTAACTTGTTTATGGATATCAACTAGTCTTTAGTTCACCCAACGTGATAAGCAGTATCGACTGAATAGCAAAGGTGAAATACACTTTATCATTGAACAGTTATGAATACAACACCTCAAGTATAATTCTGGACAGTTTAGTCCAAAAGTAAACTTGATGTTTTATAAATGATTGTTCTAGTGTCTTGTTCTACCAACTGTGTAGTGTTGTATTGTGCTGAGTTTGGTTTCCTTTCTATTATATCCTAACCTCTGTCTCGCTCTCTCAGTAAAACATTGTTTTTCTTTTTCATCTCTGAGCGATCAACAACAAACGAGGTATAAGAACATCTCCAATATCCTTTTAAATCTCTTACATGTGCAGTTTAAAAGTCTCTTTATCCGTGGCGTACTGAGAGGAGCACAGTGTACACTGTAATCTTGAATTAATTTCAGTTTATTAATTAGTTAATTTTCAATTTATAGAAAATCGACCGAAAAATCGTCGGGGATTTTCTAGTTTATAGGAATTCCTCGACGAATTTCCAGCTTTATAGAAAATCGACTTTTGAATTTCCATCAATTCGATTTTCTGTAAAGGTGGAGAATTGTTGAGGATTTTCTATAAACGGGAAAATCGTCGGGGATTTTCTAATTTATAGAAAATCAATCGAGTTTCTATAAATAATTTCCAAGGATCTGGAAATTCGATTTTGATTTTCTGTAAACTAGAAAATCCGCGGCGATTTTCTGATAAATGGAAATTCGCCCAGGAATTTCTAGACCAAATACTTATTCATCTTTTTGTTTTACAATCAGTGTAGGTACAGGAGCGCCACGTAAAGACACTCATATTACACTTAAGTTAGCTTTGGCAGTTTCTACTTTAGATCATAATTCTGCCTATGCCAACAAGAATTTTGATTTAGGCCGAGTGGTGGCGCGAAGTTTCTGTAGGAAAGTCCCAAAATCGGGGACCTTCACCAGAAATTTCTCAAAAGCATGAGGCGGGGCCAACCCCAATACGACCTGATCGGGCCGCCACTCGATGCAGACCCGCCAAGGAATTCCCAGTTTATAGAAAATCAAAAAGAAATTTCTACTTCCTTGGAAATTATTTATGGAAATGTAAGGATGATTTTCTAGAGTGTTGGAAATTTGATTTTGTATAAACTGGAAAATCCTCGAGTAATTCCTATAGGTACTCTTTGAAATTCGCCGAGCATTTTCCATAAATAATTTCCAACCTTACAGTGTACATTTAGGCGGGCATTTAGCAAAAACCCGAAGTGCTCTGCTTTCTGATCTACCCAGTCAAAAATTTCCTGAAGTAAAAAATCCTGAAGTATAGCCTTCTATAATTATAAGTATAGAAGGGTATACTTCAGGATATAGGCAATATATTCCCGAAAGAATTTTTGTTCTAACTGCTAAGGGTCATGAGAAAACACTTAGGCAGAAATTAACCTGAAAATACATTGGGATGCGGTAAGATAAACTTTTTATTAAAGCCATCCAAGTCCCAAACAAAATGACGTAGATTATGCGCTAAATTAACGAAAAACGTTCCCGTTGGACCTATAATGTCGGAAAAGCAAATTTTCTAGGCTAACTAAGTTTCCGTGGACGTGTGATCAGTATAAGGACTTTCTGAAGCTTCAAACTTCACCAGACTTTGCCAAAATATCCGTCTATATATACCACATCTATAATGCATGAAACTTATTGCAACTCTTTTTCTATCTCTCATTGTAGGTAGATAAAAGCTATTTTTCTCAGTCCAGGAAGACTTTTAAGAAAACGATTTTGTTGTGTTTGTCTTCGACTTAACGCAGAGACTTTTGTGTCAGGCGCGAATCATAAGACTATGTACTTTCTTAAGATGTTAAAAAAATGTTATAAAGCTACCAGTTTTCGGCGACACTTGTTCATCTGAAGTTAACCCTAGTGAAACTTCTTGTAACCAAGATCTTGACTTCTTGAATTTTTTCAGAGAAATCTTGATTCAAGATCCTGGTAAGAAAATGTAAGAATTTTTCAAGAACTTTCAAAAAGTCAAGGTCTTGAACGTCTCGTAACTTCTTGACTTCTCGTATCAAGATCTTGAAAATTCTTGAATCACAGTTTTGTTTTACGCTCTTGTGTAAATATAAGTGTGAATATTTTCACACTTAGAATAACTTCGAGTTTTTTCCCTTCTTGAACATAGTCGTTTAAGGAAGAACCTATCCTTCTATATCGTAGTACATCTGACGGCTATGGCCGTCATAAATGAAAACAAAATGTAAAGAAATTTTTCACAGAAGATTTGGCAACGTCTTGAGTGGATCCACTCAAGATCTTGAAATTTCTGTTTCCAATATCTTGAGTAGAGGATTTTGAAAAACTCCGTTTTGTTATATACAATTGTAGAGCAGAAATTTCTCTACAAATGGTATATCGTACAACTTTTCGGAAAGAAGTCATACATCTTCACAAAAAGTTTCATTTTTTAAAACTCTGTTTTTGTTTCTTTCGCGTTTTACATGATATGGGGATTCTCATACAATTCTTAAAGCATCCTTTTGTCAACACAAGGTCTTGCGATACACCATTTTGTAGAGAATCATTTGCTCTACAACCGGGCACTCCAATAAACATTCATTATCAAATATATTAAATACAGAACGTATTAGAAAAATAGCTTTCTCTTTCTGATCAAGTAATATTTTGAAACATGTCAGAAAAACATCTGTAAGTCCAAAGCAACATATTCTGTAAAATTTCTTGAAAAAGTATTTTACAAGCTTAGAAAATGTGGATGCTGAAACTCACGTTTTGATTTGAAAAGAGCTTTCTCTTAATAGAAAAGTATGACTTTTAATTTTTACTAAGAATTTTGCGTTTTAAGTTATATTTTAAAATATTTTGTTATTGTAGATTTGGTTTTCATTTATGTCTCTCAATCTCTGTTATGTATGATGAGTAGTCAGGTGATGTGTTTTCACAACATTTTCCATGATGTTTGTTCTGCATTCTAACTAATATTTCCTTCCAGGTTGAAGAATTTAAAATAAAAGCGAAAAATGCATTTCAAGCTGGGAAAAATGAAGATGCTATAAAATATTATAGCGAAGCCATTCAGCTTGATGATAAAAATCATGTTTTATACAGTAATCGATCAGCTGTCTACGCAAAAATGAATAAATATGACGATGCTTTGAAAGATGCTGAGAAGTGTGTATCACTGAAACCAGAATTTGTTAAAGTATGCCTTGGTCTAAATATAAAAATAAACTTATTTCTTCTTCTCGTTATTGGTGTCGTAGGGTTATTCTCGACAAGGTGCTGCATTATCATGTTTAAAGCGTTATGAAGACTCAATCAACGCCTATGAAGCTGGTCTAAAGTTAGATCCTCAAAATCAACAATTATTAGATGGTTTGAAAAGAGTCAAATCAACACAGGCAGGACCACTGTCAAGTCCATTTTCTGATCCACAATTTTTAATACAAATAATGACACATCCAATAGCACGCGAATTGATGAAAGATCCGGAAACAGCTGAACTTATTCGACAATTAGGCGCAAATCCAGACAATGAATTGTACGTTGATTAATTGAACCATGTTTTTACCTAATCGTCTGTTGTGTTCTCATTTTAGATTATATCAGAATCCGAAAGTAATGAAAGTCATTGGTGTTATTCTCGATTTTGACTTGCCCGGAGGGAATAATAACGAAATATCAATGAAAAGTGATCCTACAGCATTTTCACAACCAACATCCACACCCAGTACTACCCAAACAGTAAATTCAGCAACAGATAATAAAAAGAAAAATTTAACGTCAACACAAAAACAGGTAATAGACATTCACTATTTGCATAATTTAATGCTAAATACCCTATATATTTTAGGCCGAAGAAGAAAAAGAGAAAGGAAATGAAGCTTACAAGAAGAAAGATTTTACTACTGCACTACACCATTACGACAAGGCTATTGAATTAGACACGAGTAACGTAACATATTATACAAACAAAGCTGGTATGTTAATTATCAAACAAAATTTTTCGATAAATCATTCCTTTTTTTTCTCATAGCTGTCTATTTTGAACAGAAAGAATGGGATAATTGCATCAAACAATGTGAAAAAGCAATCGAAATTGGAAGAGAAAATAAAGCTGACTATAAACTTATTGCAAAGTAGGTTTAAGAATAAGTAATCTGTTCATCCACTACATAATACACAGAATATTTTATTGTTTGCTTTCAGGGCCTATGCTCGTATGGGAAATGTTCATTTACAACGAAAAGATTATCAAGTATCGCTCAAATATTTCAATCATTCATTATCCGAACATCGGAATCCCGATATATTAAAAAAGAAGCAAGAAATTGAAAAATTATTGAAAGATGAAGAAGCAAAAGCTTATATCAATCCACATATTGCAAATGAAGAAAAAAAGAAAGGCAATGATTATTTTCAGAAAGGAGATTTTCCAACAGCTCTTAAACATTATTCGGAAGCTATTAAACGAAATCCCACTGATCCTAAGGTGTATAGTAACCGTGCCGCGTGTTATTCAAAATTAATGGAATTTACTCTAGCATTAAAAGATTGTGACGAAGCAATCAAACTGGATCCCACCTTTAGTAAGCGATAATTCTTCTGAGTATATTTTTTATGAATAATTGATTGATGCTTTTTTTCAGTTAAAGCATATCTTCGTAAAGGTAGCGCTTTAATAGGTATGAAAGATTTTGGTCAGGCTATGTCGGCATTTGCAAAAGCACTAGAAATTGATCCAAATTGTCAAGTAAGTCATATAGCAACATTAATTTTTTAAATAATTAATTACAAACTACTCTTTAGAGTAATTTCTGTATTCGTCTCTACTTCTAAATAGTTAATACTCTTTTTTTTTAGAAAGCAATAAATGGTTACCGTTCATGTACAATGAAAGAAAAAAGCAGTAACCCTGAAGAAGTTCGACAACGGGCAATGAACGATCCAGAAGTTCAAAATATTCTAAGTGATCCTAGCATGCAAATTATACTTGAACAAATGCAAAATGAACCACAAGCATTAAGAGAGCATTTTAAAAATCCGGCTATTGCACATAAAATACAAAGACTAATCGATGTTGGTATTATTGATATTCGATAAAATACGATAGAAAGACAAAATACGTTTTACTTTTACTGATGTTCTTTCTTGTCTAGTCAAATAGTAAATTATTGTGTAGTCAAAGAAGTATGCAGAATAAAAGTCAATTCCTTTTACTATTTTTTACTTATGTCTGCTTTTTTTTCTACTTATGAAGTGTTAATTTATACTCAATACTCTCGCTATTTATCATTTTTTTCCTCAACCGTGCCTATATACAATGCATGGCTATTGTTGTTGCTTTTTCTCACAATGATAATTTCAGTTACATTTCACTTTTAATCTCGTTTTTTACCAGTTGATGATGATTTTTTAATAAAATATGCAAAATAATATTACGATTATTATAGAGAATTATAGAAGTCCAATAGGTTACAATTAAGATTTCTGCAACGTAATACCGAAGATAGCATCAGAGTATATATGAAGTTAAACAGACAAAAGAGAATTAGTCCGTATATCTACGCCCGATTTAATAATATAAGTGTCATTTTTCCTTGCCATTAGTTTCTAGCTCAAAAGCCGAAATAAATCGATTATCAAATAAAATAATCAAATGTGGACTAAATTCTATGAAATACGTCTAAATTTCTAATAGACTTGTTAGTCAAAAACAGATGAGGTTTATAAAATGTTCTGATGTGCTAATTATTCTTCAATCATTTTCAAAAGATTTAAACTTTGATATGATTATGTATCAAGGCCAAAAAATCGTACTAACGATGGAACCTTCCCATATGCTTAATACCAGCAAAATACCGACGGTTACCGAGAGGTATATCGCCATAGTGAATGAAAATACCGTCCGATATACCGTCGGTAACCACGCGGTATGTCACTGTCTACTGTCGATATAATCAACGGCACCGTCTAGTATTTTACCCTTATGAACACGTAGAACAGGAGTTCGAAACTAATTTTCAACTTTCTTTTTTTTATTGTTGAGCATTTGTAAGCGCAGACAGGCTCCCGATTGAGAGAAATTTGACTCGAGCCAAAGTTCAAACTTAGACGAGTCTATATGACTTAAAAGAAAAGTTTAATCTGAAGAAGAAATCAAGTTTCTCGAATTTCATATCATCGACAGAAAAATAAAGTTCATTTAGAGTTGTGGAAAAGTGCTTTTTTGTATTCAGCATACTCGATAACCCAATAGATTTTCTGGTTTTGGCGAAGCGTACTGTCAAAAGTTTAAGAAAAATTTTGAAACTAATAGTATTTTCCCATGGAATTTTTTTGGCGCCATTTTGTTCGAAAAATTTTCCTAAATTTTTGACAGTACCCCTCCTCGCCAAAATCAGACAATCTATTGGGTTATCGAGTATGCTGAATACAAAAAAGCACTTTTCCAGAACTCTAAATGAACTTTATTTTTTTCTTCACGGTGATATGTTCTGTGTTTCTTTTATATCTTCATGGGTGTAAAATACAATGGTGAATGGATAAAAACGGTTACCGTGCGGTATTTTCTTAGACCGCTGTCTAATAAGTTACCGTCGGTTAATCGCGCGGTATAACGACGGTGTTTTGTTGAACCGCCGGTAACTGGTGGTATTTTAAAAAAAACCTCGACATGGTTTCTCACATGTCCACCTTCGATTTCAATGATATTCTGTCTATCGATAGAGGGCAGTTTGCTAGTAAAAAGCCTAAAAGGATATCTGCCCTTGATGCTTCTTTCTGAACCTGTGAACTTTTTTTATTCGCTCAGAGAAGGGGATACGGGTACGAAAAGATTTTTTGTATGTCGATTAAAACAAAGAATTACGAGCTGGAGTTTTTCTGTTGTTGCTCTACTGGTCTGCTAATAACACAAAAATATTGAAGCCTTCAATTCATATATATGTTGACTAAACACATTTTACTCTCATAAGGAAACCTAGTTTTCGACAAAATAGTTGTTAAACTGAAAGAATATACTGTTACAATTTTTTCTCTCTAATGAAGGAACCTCTCCATGTGCCCACCTTCGTTTTCATTGACATTCTGTCTATCGCTAGAAGGTAAAAAAGAAGTAGTAAAAAGTCTAATGATACTACTTTCTAAACTTATAAACTTTTTTTATTCACTTAAGGAAGACGATACTGTTACAACAGGATTTTGGTATGTCGAAAAACACACAATACTCGAAGTTGAAATTTCTTTCATAAATTCAACTGAACTGATTGTTTTGCTGAAAAAAAGTTTAATGTCAGAACTGTGGTCCGCTATGCTAATCTTCATCAAGAAGTTTCTATATTTCAGAAAACTTTTTGATCGGTTTAACCAGACGAAATCATAATCATTAAATAGACAAAATGTATCAATAGGTATACAAAGTTCTATGCCAACATCTATTAATGAACCCGTTGATGACAAGTTCATAGCGATAATTAGTGTCTTAGATGATTAATGAACAAGAGCGGATCATGATAACTGCTGAAAAGCTAGACCGTCTTATTGCGTTAGAAATTTAGTCTGGAGCCAAGAAATGTCTCAACCAATACCGTTAAAGCATATGATATAGACCATCTCAAAAACTTATAATTCAACAAACTTTAGATACTTTTGAATCAGTATTGTTTGTTTTGCAATATGGAATAGAGTTCAGACACCAATCTCTAAATTTAACAATCGAAAAGTCTTTTATCTTTGATAAATGTAAACCATGAAAGAAAATAATGTTTGTTCTCTTTTTTTCTCGCCATGTGATATGGTAGTATAAGTATAAGATACATATGTACATGCACTTTCAAACTGCACAATTCTTTCACACTTCTCTTAATAGAATAGAAAGCAAAGAAATACAAAATGGACCGTGTAGTTTATATTGGTAAAAGCGGATATTTCTAATATTTGATTAATCACCTAATTTACCAGGATCGTTTTTTCTTCTACTCTGTTTTAAATCTTTTTGTGCCCTTGCATGGAATTTATGATTTTAAGATAATACTAAGTACCCCATAGTGCAATGTACTTCATAATCTTTTGGTTGTATTTCAGAAATCAACTTCAATTATTCTGTTTCGGAGAGAAAGAAAGCTTCAGATTATTATATTTTTTAGATCAGGTGAGCAAAAAGTTTTATCGACGCAGATCTTTGTTTTTGACTTGTGCTGATTTTTTATCACCAAATTTCTGCTTGGACTGGTTCTAAACTTCTTCTATCACGAGTTCTTTGTGTGTATGATCGCGGTTCTAGAAATTTAATAATCGGGAGACTGAATCCAAAAAGTGGAAGAGGTTGTAGAAAGTAAGTGATCAAGTATATTTTACGATTTGTCTGGATTTTATGAGATTACAATTCCAATTGTTTTTCAGATTTTGCTACTTTTAATACTATTCGTGCTGTGAAAAAGAACAAAAATAATGTCCATAAAATTCAAAGATAATCAAGATGAATATCATTTTAATTACGAAGAAGTGCAAGCTCTTTTCAACAGTGTAACAACATCATCCGAAAATAATTTGAATCAAGCAGCAGAAACATCAACAACAATGACCACGTCTTTAACGCCAGCCCGAACAACAATAACATATACGCCAATCTTTGGTGGACGAAGTTCTACAACTAGACGATCTGTCCGATCTCGCCCTCCACCTCCAACCTATTTAAATTCTTCGTTTTTTCGACACGCTGCACAAACTTCTCATCAAGGAACTGGATCTACTCCTCAACCCGGAGGAACAAATACACGTTCTCCATTCAATTATTCAAGGTCATTTCGTTCCGGCATTCGTTCTCGTGGTCCATCTTACCGTCCATCATTTGATAGCCATCGGAATGATAATCATGATAATATCTCAAGAACAAATTCCGGTTTTCATGATAACATTACATCAGCATCAACAGCAACGATAACAGGAGTCATTGGAGGACAACCGTCAGTTGGTTCCGTGACTGCCGGTATGAGTCAGGTTTTAGCTATTACAACTAATTATCAACCACAACCAACTGGAACAGTTGATTTACAACGTTCTACATCGGTACCTAATATTATTTATTTACCAGCAACATTTGCTCTGGTTACTGTCAATAACAATGCAGCTAATGATGTAAGTTAAATATGTTTATTTTTGTTTCCACATTCTCATGCTGGATGTTAAACTTTTAAATTTTTTTGTACTATAAATGCAGAATCTATTCCGAATTAGTTTTTTTCCAAAAAATACATATTTTTTTCAATGAAAAAATGTTTAGTTTTATATGTTTGAATTCTTGAAGATGGATTTTGTTGATTAATTTTTATTTCAAGTAAAAGATTTTCCGTATGCTCATTATTTTTCGTGATAGTTTTTTGTTTGCGCACTGCAACCACAGTCATTAATTTTTTCTCATATTTTTTTTCTTGTCGTTATATATTTCGAATGTATATTCATTCTTCGAAATAATAATCACATCGAACATATAAATGTCCATGGAATCTCAAGCAAAAACTGTTATTCAAAAAATTTGTTTGATTTTCACAAAAGAGCACCTCTTTTATTGAACTATGATATTAATTCTGTCTAAAGTATGGCTCATCATCGTCTAAATCTTTATAACCCTCCCCCGCCCCCCCCCCCATAATAGAAGACCACCTGGTCTTCTATTTTGTCCCGCAAGTCGAGTTCTAAAGGATGGTCTTCTATTGCGGTCAAATTTTGTCACCTGCTAGTAGTCCAACGGTAACCTCACGTACTTGAAGTCCGTTCCCTATTAGAAGTATGTTTTGACACTTTTACGTAACACTCCTTTTTTTTAACATAACAACTAATGAGCTGACTAATAAAACTTCAAAGCCGAATTCTGGGATCAGAAGTGTCGTCTGATTTTCTTCGTACTCTCAGTTGAAGATACCATTATTAAACTAAAGATAGATATAGATGTAGGCGGGAAATTACAACATCTAGCAAGTTTTGATTACATCGCTCCAAGAGCCTATAACTTGTATAAGCACTGGAGTCATATTATGTTTAGTTAATGGGCTTGATGATTCCTTGATCGATGAATCTCACATAGGAAAACAATCAACCGATGCTAATTAAATCTTATCATACTTGGTATTAATTCTTTAGAATATATAGATATTTTAGACGCAGTAAACATCACTATGTATATCGAATTTATAACTTCGAAATTTTTCTCTTCCTCTAGTATATAAGTCATCGAAGCTTGTCTGAAGGGAGTAGCCTTAGTGGACGGACCTGTACTAGTGATAGTACCATACTCCTGAGACTGGTAAACCATGGTTCGAACGAATTCAGAACATAATATTTTTCAGTTCATGATCAAAAATAATGAAACTTGAAATATGTGCTGAAAAAGGCCCATTAACGATAATGTTTTCGACGACTGCGTATACTGCGGTCGAATACGGCGCATTTACGTAGCACCGTAAGCGAAGTAAGTATACGGCACCATACTATACTGTAATTGAACCGTAATACGATGCATCTTATACGGTGACCGTTTGCAGGCCGAAAATCACCGTAATTTAGCCGAATACGGCCGTTTACGTACCGTATTGTTCGACCTGGGACGATCAACACATTCTTTACTTTGATTGTGGAGTTTGCGCTTAAAGAAAGAAAAGATTCTCCTAAAAATCTCGACCCTAAACTTTGTCATATATCAGTCTAAGTATATTCTGAAGTTTTTAGATTTTTAAAACTTTTATTGAACTTCAGGGTATAGCGCAGATAAAATACAGTATAGCTAGAATTTCTGAAGTAAATCGAATCGGTTTTGAGTAATTTATGAACTTTCTAATTTTTCGTGAAAACAGGCGAAAATGAGCTATTCCATCTGATATACGTTTTTACTACGTAATTGAGTTCAGCGATTTCGATTAGGTGGGGGGGAATTCCCCCACCTGTTTTGAAACAATTACTCCATTCATTTTAAAAAATTTACTCCTACTAGAAAAAAAATTGCTCTGAAAAGTTAAAAGCCCTTTTTTTTGGTTATTAAATTTTTAGAGTTGTTCCATAAAACTTCCCCCGCCTTGCCAAAGTTATATCGAAAACGCTGATTGAGTTTTGTTCTGAAAACAAATATGACCGCACAACATACCATCCAATAGTTTTTGAGGCTTCCAACAAGTGATGCTGGATCAATCCAGGACACTCAAGAAACTTCATCCAACGCTTAAGTCACAAAAAATTGAAAAATTCTCTTGGTTCTAGAGTCCTCCGAGATCGATATTTTTAGTTTCAGTCCCGATTCCGTCCAATACCAGTAAATCACGATCCCGAAAAAAAAAATTTTCAATCCTGTCCCAATTGCTAGGCGGTGCAAGAGCGATATCTGACGCCTCCATGCATCCCAATCGAGTGGAGGCTCGAAGCCAAAATTTGATTGATCAATTTGCGATTCATTCAGATAAAGCAGAAAAAAAGTATGTTTGTTATTTATTTGTTTTCCTGCTTCTTTAAATTGATATGAACTAGTGATAAGAGCAAAGACTTTGCGGAATCTGAATTGGATCACAAAAAGTACCGAAAAAAAATTTTCAGTTCTGATTCGAATCCCACAGGACTCTACTAGCTCTCATTTGTGCAGAACACTTCGGATCACTAATGTGTGAAGAAAAACGATATTTTTATATAATCGAGTTTTTAAGACAAACTGATTTTTAAAAGATCTTCTAAAAATGATTTGAAAAAGGCTTTCCAACTTATTTTTACTGAAAGATGCGTTAAAGTGTTGAAAACTATCCATGCCTTTTATCAATAGTACTCTCGTAAACAGTGAACCTCTCATACTAGCAATGGTTCGCCTATTAATTTAGATAGTTGATGACGAGTGCTGAAGCTCACCGGAATTTAAAGGGTATTCTGAACTTTACTTGGTTTGAAATGAATGTGCTTAAGCTACAACAGAGAGCTAGGGTACAGAGGTTAACGTGAGAAGTTTTCAGATATCCTTTAAAAACTAGCTTTCTGGTTTTAGGGCTAAGCGTGGTAAACTTATCCAATAAAGATTTTGCATATTCTTTTAGATTCCAACTAAAATATCTGTCGATATGTCTGATACTCAACAATTAACACCAGGCATGTCTATCAGACCTACAGAACCTGTAAGTTATATACTACATTTTGCTTTTTCTTTGCTTTCATAAATGTATTTTGCTATATAGTCACGAATGTTTTCTGGTTTACGTCATAAAAAATATAAAAGTGCAATAACAATGGTCGTTTTATTTTTAATCAATTTACTCAATTTTATGGACAGATTTGCGATTGCAGGTAACCCAAATAAAAGTACTAGCCATTTGAGTATGCATGTATTGATAATGTTTCTCTCCTTTTCTCCGAATAGGTGTATTGGATAAAATTCAAAAATATTTTACGATTACCGATTCTCAGGGTGGCTTGTTACAAACTGTGTTTGTCTGCAGTTATATGGCATTAGCGCCTCTATTTGGCTATTTGGGTGATCGATATAGCCGAAAAAACATTATTCTACTCGGCGTTACATTGTGGTCAATGACAACCGTTGCCGGCTCGTTTGTACCTTCTAATGTAAGTTTAGTTTTTTAAACTTGTTGTATAAGTTGTTCTATAATGTTTTCATCTTTAGTATTTTGTTATTTTTGTGATATTGAGAAGTTTGGTAGGAGTTGGTGAAGCGTCGTATTCGTGTGTACGTTTAATACATTGTTTTATAATAATTTTATGAACAGACTTTATTTATCTCAGGTAGCCCCAACAATTATTGGGGATCTTTATAAACATGATTCGAGAACAAAAATGTTGGCTCTATTTAATATTGCAGTGCCATTAGGAAGGTATTTGCGTCAAAAGTCTGTCGTGAGATCTTTTCAAATAATTATTGTTTTACACATTCCAATCAAAATACTGTCCAACCCCAAAGCTGCACAGTTGCATAAAAACAACTCTGCTCTATCGTTTGGCTGTGCGTACGATAGTTATATAACTTAAGATTATGGCATTTTTTTTATTGTTTTAGTGGACTTGGCTATATACTTGGTTCCAACATTGCCGAGGCATTCGGTGATTGGCGTTGGGCTTTGCGAGTAAGAAAGCAAAAAATATGATCTTTTTGTTCTTTGATCTCTCTATTACAACTTTCTATTTAGATTACGCCGGCATTAGGCGTTGTATGTGTCGTTCTTCTTTTGATTCTTGTTGATGAACCAGTGAGAGGCAGTGCGGACGGTGCACATATTCAAAAAGCAAGTGGTTGGTTAATGGACGTTAAGGAATTAATTAAAATGTAAGTGTAGTTGTGCTAGTAAAAGATAGTTTTGTTTTTATTTAAAACTATTTTATTTTGTTAGTAAAAGTTACGTTTTATCAACATTAGCTTTTACTTGGGTCTCTTTTACACTTGGAGCTATTGCTTGGTGGGCTCCCAATTTTTTAAAATACGCTAGTGAAGTTGTTTCTGGAAAAGAAGAGAAACAGTAAGTTTTCTGTTTATTTTCAAGTCAACAGTTTTGTTACCATTCGTTATGTTTCTATTTAGTGTCCCATTATATTTCGGTAAAATCTACAATATTTCTAAAGAATAAAATCATTGTGTCTATTATTACTTTATCAGGAATTGTCACGTGTGTAGCTGGCTTTGTTGGTGTAATATCTGGCGCTGCAATCGCTCGTCGGTAGGTCTGATCTATTCATCTACACCATCAACTGTCTTGCGTATCTTCTAAAAGGCACGTTTATCATCTCCGAGTTTATTTTTTTTACGAATGATATTGAAATAATTGAAATTTTCTTACTTTCTTGGTTTTTCTAAAACAGAGTGGAACAAACTTATTAATAACTTTCCATTCTTCACGATAGAAGTAGACTATTCAGTAATGTAATGATATATAATCCGTAGTTTGGCTATTATCTTGTTTATGTCTAGTTTTCGTAAGACACATCCTAATGCTGATCCAATCGTTTGTGGATGTGGAATATTATGTTCCTTGCCATTTTTAATGGTTGTATTAACATTTTCAAATAAAAATATGATTGCAACGTGGATATGCATATTTTTTGCAGAAGCACTTCTGTGTATGAATTGGGCATTGATAAGTGATATGTTAATGGTAACTTTATTTTTATATGTATAACAAGAATGTAAAAAAATTTGTCTTTTTTCTCATTATAGTACGTTGTTATACCCACACGTCGTTCAACAGCAGCTGCCCTTCAAATATTTGCATCTCATTTATTTGGTGATGCAAGTAGTCCTTATATTATCGGATTAATGAGCGATTACTTTCGAAAACATCCTTCAAATGCGGCGCACGTAGACTGGGTATCTTTACGGAATGCATTACTGATTTGTCCATTCGTTGTTACATTGGGCAGTGCTGCATTTTTATTTTGTTCTTTATTTATTGTCGAAGACAGACGGAAAGCTGAATTAGTTATGGAAGGTACGTAGTTATACTAGTCTATGTAGTTAAAGTATGAATATGATTCCTGTCTATATTTTTCATATTTTACAAATAATACATCATTGTTTGTTTCCCATAACTTCCCATTTAAACTAGGTGAACGCAGTGAGCAAACTTTATCATTTTATCTATAGAATAATCTCTCAAACAACTACATGTGCAAATTTTCATGATGAGATCTGCCTTTTCATGGAAGCAAGAAACTTTTTTCAATTATTTTATGTACATCTAGATCTTGAAGAGCTTGTTTTCTAATTGAAATAGATTGGAAAGTGATTGATGGTCGATCGCCCGATGATGATCTCCCGATTTTGCTCGCAGACACATCGAAATACTAAAATAATAAATAAGCAGAGAAGTATGCGTATGAATGTGTGATGCTTACTTACTTAATTCAATTTTGAAATTCATTAAAACATAATTGCTGTCAATTACATGTTGTCAATAACATTGAGAAACGGGCTCTCTACAGCTGTAACCAATTTTCTATTGTATATAAAGTATTTCTTCTGTATTTTCTATTTAGTGATGGATTACGATGATCAAACTTTGATATACGTCCAATAGTTGTCATTTTAATGAGTGTTGTTTGGTGAGTTAGTGATATATTCTTTTTGCATTTATTTATTAATTAGTTTTTTTTATACGTATATTCTGTCTTGTTTTCATGTTCTTTAATATCAATATTTTTTTATGTGCAATAATGCTAATATTTTGATGCTTTCTTTCTCTCGCATTTGATTATATATTTATTTTTTTATACAGATTTTTGTATTTCGTTGCTTTGTTTTTTACAAAAAAACACAAATTTATGAAGATTCTAGAGTATACTTCTATTGTTTTTTTTTATTTTTTTACTATACACATTAGAAAAGAAAAGCAGGTCTTCCATTTGAGACACTTCGTTCTCTTCAGTTTAGAAAACTAGAAGATAGATTATTTTCTCAGAGAAACTTTCTTGTGAAACAAATCCAAAACGTTCACTACAAATGAGCAAGAAGTTAGACATGTTTGTGTGTTTTAAAATCGAACACTATTGAAGTGAGATAGATTAGTTCATATACTTGAAATTTAAAATAAATGTTACGATCAAGTATTGAAATGTTTCAATATATGCATCTTTGATATGTCCGAGCAAGATTGAAAGAAAACTTATATCATTATTTACACATGTGTGTTTCTTTTCCTGGATAATGCAGAAATCACATAAACATGCAAGCTAAAAAACATAGTATCGTGAAAGAGAAGTAGTCTGAAAAAACACTGATTTTTATTATACATAACAATATACTTTCGTAATTTTGTGTACAGTTTCTCTTCTGTTTTTTAGATTTATGCTCTGAGTTCCCAAATCAATTTTTTTAGGATTCCTGTACTTGGGAGATTCTTCGGTTGTACACATCACATTATTTAAAAAAATGAGTTCAACCAACCAACGATCAGCACAGACTGTAAGCTCCCAAATTGTCACAAGTTTCTACTAGATATTTATATTTGTTGTTGTATGTTCTAGGTACAAAATCCGTTGTTTATTGACGAGACTACTCCATTTATACCGGACCAACCATCAGCACAGACTGTATGCTCCCAAGTTATCATTATTTTCTACTAGATATTTATATTTGTTGTTGTATGTTCTAGGTACAAAATCCGTTGTTTATCGATGAGACTACATTTATACGGGATAGCGATAGGAAAGATGCAGGTATGTTGCAACTTAAATTAACTGGAGTTCTGTTCTATATTCATTTCGTTCATGACTGACGAGATGATAATCAGAGATTGATATGTTTCCTTTAATAATTGTTAAATCAAGATTTGTCTCTTGAAATAATACAATATAAGCTTTAAGATAGAAAATTTTTGTGTCTCTAAGGAGAATAAAATTCTTCTCACGATTTTGCATATTATTTGAATTCAGTTCAATAAATTCTTATTTACTAGTCGAGTCATTTCATAAATTATTTTGGGCTTTAAAACAGATGCAGCTTGACGATAATCTTATTGAGCAGGACGAGTTGATTTGATTATTGTATACGAAACCATTGCAGTTGAGATTGCTACGATTGTCGATTATTATGGCATTGATGAACTTCAAATATCATTTGTGATTGATTTTTCGTCAAATGCTTGTGCGTTATTAAACGAATTTTTAATAAATAAGATATCAGATAGAATAGTAGAACAGGCCAATAAAACATTCAACAAACACCCGTAAGATTTGTTCCATTGTTATTAATATAATATGACATTTTAAATCCCCGAATTGAATCATTGATGATGGCTCGAGATTGATTTGACGAACAAAACTAATAACGACTTCTTCGCCACTGCGACTATCAGTTATACTCAGATGTTTTTTAAGTTAAAATTGTTCACTCACATCGGCTACTTGTTGAGAGAGAATATTCCATGTTTGTTATTAATAAACTGTAATTTTACTATTTTTTCAACATGAATAAATAATAATGATCGATGTGTCATATAACATTTGTTTTGTTATTGTTTTAGAACCAAAACAAGAGTCTTCCTTAATTGCACAAAGGACAATGAATACTATGGATTTGGATGGTAAACAGAAACTTTCTCTAGTTATCTTGTTTTGATAAAATTATCTTGTTTAGATATAGACCAAGAGGCTCATGAAGATTTCGAACTACAAGAACGGGTAAGTTATAGACTAACTAAATAAAAGAAAAAATTATTTACTGAGAGAATTCTCTATAAAGTATTCCCCATTCTCTCAATATATCAGACATATGAATGTACGTTTTTAGATGAGTTGTGCAGTGTTATGCAAAGATTTTGTTTAAGAATGTATCCTTCATATCATCAAACTTTTCGTTTTCACAGGGACGACTTCGTTTAACATCTACAGAACGTCCGCGAACTTTTGTGCCAACCAATGAAGACGACGACGACGAAAATATACTGAGTACGCAACCCATGTTAACTAGTTCACCAGAGGCCACCATAAGAGTTACAGATACAGATAATGAAGACGAAAGTATGTTGTGTGTAACGATTCACTTTTAGGCAACATTGACAAAAGTTTTATTCGTTTTTCTAGCAACTCCGTTTCCAGTGGAGCGTGATAGTCATATTGATTTTATCGGGGATGGGGATGGTGCTTCGCCGATTAGAGATGAAACTAGCATTCGCCGTCGTTCATCACAACGGCCAAGTAGTCGAGGACAAGATGAACAAAATACAAATCCATTGCGACGCATTGTGGGGAATTTTTGGAATGAGTAAGTAATATTCTTGTTTCCGATTTGATTATATTTCTCTTTTTTCTTATTAGTCTCTGGCCTGCCAATGATAGAAGTGCTCGAATTGTTCCACTTTTACTCATTAGCTTATTTGTATTATTCGTCATCATTGTTATTATATTTGTTGTTATGGGTTATGAATCTGTTGAATATCATCAAGTAGAATACTGAAAACTATTGAATTGTCTCATTTGCTAACAATATATACTTTAATTTAATTTTAGTTTGCTGTTGCACATAATCAAATGACTGGTCGAATGGATTTAAAAAATCCTTACTCATCTGGTGTTTATATATTATTACCTTGGCAAAGATTTGTTTATTTTGATAAAACATCACGATATATGCAGTTTGATGAGTTAACAGTGTTTACCACAGATAAAGCCAGCATTATTTTAGATGCTGCCATTGTTTACAAAATAAGGTAAAATTAAGATATGTATAGAAAAAAAACACCAAAATACAAAATTATCTATTCGAAAAGATGATTTTTAATTTTAGATCTGAACAAATTGAACAAATTTGGTTGAATTTTGCTGACAAACATGAAATGATTGTTGAACGTGTAGCTAAAAGTGTTATACGTAATTATGGCAATCAGTATTCAATATCAGATTATCGTACAAAACGTGTACAAGTTGAATATGAATTACGACAAGTTCTATACCGTGAATTATCTGGTGATTGTTGTTTAAAATGTTGCGATGATCACACATGCCCAATGCATCAACAATGGATATGTTCAATTAATAATTGTACAAAGAATTGTACACCATCTCGTTTTGGTTATTTTATTGATTTAGAAGTTGTTTATTTTTATAAGATAGATTTACCATCAAATATTGTAAGTCGTTTACATACGTTGATGTTAAAACCGATTTATGTCGAAATAGCTTTACATCAACTCGAACAAGTTGTTTACCAAATTGAAACTCAACGTCAACGAAATGTCTATTTGAATAAAGCACGTTATGCACTTATGGCAAGCATCGCAAAAGCTGAATTAGAAATAGAAAATGCTAAGGTTTATAAAGAGCAATATATTTTCAAGCAAATAGGTAAAACTGAGCAAAATTATATTTTTCGTAAATTGAATATAACTTCACAATCTGATAAATTAGCAAGTTGTTTTCTTTATGATTTAAATCATCTAATTAATGTTTCACAAACAGTCAACATCGATTCACATGTAAGACCACAAGTGAATAATCCTGTACGTTCAAATGAACCGTTTGATTTTATTCCACCAGATGTATTTGATTTAACGGAGTTTATGTCTATACTAACTGATCCCGTCTAAGACAATTTTTCATAGTTTTTAAGTAATATGATATTATAATACTGACATTGAAATGTTTTTACAATAAAAGTAAGATATTGTGATCTTAAATAAAAGTTATTTTGAGCAGATAACTAGTTAACATATTTACAGTTATGTTTTATATTTTTGAATTAATCTCTTTTTACTTTTTGTATAGAATATTTGTGATTTTGTTTTGAATTGAAGTCTTTTTTTAAAAAAAAATAACAATAATAAAAACACATTCTGTCTATAGGAGGTGACTGTGACTACAATTGAATAAGAAAAATTATTTATAAGGTAAGCTAAAAAAGTGTAAAAACAGGATTGATCAGATATGAAAAATATTTTTAACAAAGTAGTGCATGCTCATCTGAAATCTATCAAAGTATATCTTATTTTTCTCTTAGTTTATAAAAACCGGCAGTTTCTTGATGTTCAAGTAGAAAAGGGCTTGAAAGTGACAAATCACTTTCAAATAAACAAAATCAAAAGACAAAGCGAAAGTTTAAAATTATCAACAACTCTTTTGAAACATTGCTTTTCGAATATCTTTGATATGTAGGTGAAAAGTGGCACTTTTAATATACGGTCATCATGAATCAAAAAACTAAAAATAATTGTTTTATATTTATGCATTAATTAAATGATCCATTGAAAGACGATGTGGAGAAATGAAAAAATATGGAAAAAATAAAAAGATTTGATAACAATGATTTGTTATCGTTTTTTATTTTAATCGATTTTCTTTCAACTTTATTGTGTGTGGAACACAAAGTGCAATAACAAAAGAAAAGATGTTATTGTTACTGAAGGAAATTCGACTCAACGATGAACATGGTGTATATTATGCTGTATCTTAATTGTCGCTGAAATAGAATATAATTTCTTTATATATTTTCCAGGCAGGGGCGTACCTAGCATCTCAGAGCAGGAGGGTGGTCCTGCCCGAAAATTTTTTGTTCTTTCAACCAAAAAACGTTTCCATGCTATAAGACGTATCAAAAATTTTATGCGACGATAGTAAAAACAAACTTTTCTAAAACCATGGGGGTGGTGACCACCTCCCAGTAACTACGCCTCTGTTTCCAGGATATTTCCTTGTTTTGTTTTGTCAAAATTTTTGATTGAACGTTAAACGTAGTCTAATGTAGTAAAAAGTCTGGGCTACAAAATAAGCTTACACCTCGAGTTTCACAACTGTTCTTTTTTTTTGCAAAAATTATGAACTTTTTCTCAAGAGGTCGAAATACTCATTTGTTTTGGTTTTGTTAATTTTTCTATGCTTTTCAGAAGCATTTCAAAACTTTTCCTTAGACTTAGTCCAAATTTTCAATAGTTTTATTGTAGTTTAATGTATAAGCATCCTAAGAAATGTCTTGAGTGTTACGTAAATTGCGAAAAATACAATTCAGTTATTTTATGAACCCTCGAAAAAATAGTTCTATTCAAGCTAAATTTTAGTACATCTTCCATCTTAGCCTCTATCTTAAGAGCGATACATTTCAAGAGAGTGGAAGTTGCAAGACTTTTTTGGGCGGCGTTTCGTGTTTAGATTTCTTCTCACTCAAACTCAATTACAAAAAATTTTTTTTTCTATGTTCGTTGAAGTACAGATTTTGCTCTTTTTAACAGAAAAATAATTAAATCGCAAGCGTATCAGGAACGTGCACAAATAATGCTCGATATTTTTTCCATTTTTTTTGCATCGTATAATAAAACTACTGACCAAATGTGGCAGGACATAAAAAACTGACGTTATAGTCAGTTTCAAAGTAGAAAAGATTTTTAAGAATTAAATTACAAATGAATGTGAACTTTGTAAAAAAAATTTCATGAAATGTTAAAAATGCACAATATCGATAAAATGTTGCAGACAAAAAACAGATCGACAATGTTATTTAGTGACAACACATTACTAAGACATATTAAATAATGTTTACATACTAAATATTTGATAACTATATGTACTTGGAGGAAGTCATTTCTAATCACTTATGAACTGTTATACGATTCTATCTGATGGAATCCTACCGTTCTAATGTATCGCTACTATACTGTTGTTCGCTCAAATTTGAACGAAATCACAGAATATATGGATAATTTCGAATATAGAACGATGGTTTAATTTAAACTGATAGTTGTTACTTTTTTTCATGATCATGTCGGTTAGTCAGAGGCTGCTTATTCATACATTGGCAGGCCGCCAGCAGAACAACTGAGGCAACCTACTGGAAAAAAATCAGTTTTTGTCCTATGGAGAATTATATTTCGCAGCGGAGTATCTGTCCAAAGTTCAAAATAAAGTAAGAGAAATTCTTGATCGAAAAATTTGATGTACACTTTAAATGCAGGAAAAGTGTGTTAGCACGGACAAAATTTATGAAGGGAAGCACGTTTGTGTATGTACTGCTCTAAAATATTTATTGCCCTCCCCCTACAAAAAATTTTCCGGTCGGCCTATGTATTCTTACATATATCGAGCTATGTTATTCACATTTTGTTGACAAGCCAAGTTCTCTCTTGCGTCGATTCTCAACAATTTTGTATTTTTTTCCAGAATTTTATTGAATGTAGTTTAAAAAACAAAAAACAATGAAAAAAAAAATGGTTATCTTCTTCTCAACAAGCTATTTTTGTTCATAATCAATATCTTCATCCATTCTTCTTTTTTGTTATTAACTTAAAGAAGCGCTGTACGAACACATACACGTAAACAAAAAGAGTATGACCAGTTTTTTTCCTCCAAGCAAGTTCGGAATGATTGAAAAGTTTTTTGTACACAACAATTATAGCGGTAAAAAGCATGGCTCTACGAAAATGCGGTAAATCGAGAAGAAATCTGTTTTGATATATCGATAAATAAGAAAATGCGAGAGAAGGTTAGAGAAAACTATTTACTCTATGAATATATATATATATTGAATAAAAAAGAAAATGAGACGAATATAAGTAATCTGCGTTGTCAGATCCGTGTTCTATTTACATGTAAAAATATTGTTTGTTATTTAAATATTTGATAATTTCACTTTGATTGGTAATGGTTGTACAACTTCATATAATTCATCTGGTTGTATTTTCTCCTTTTCAGCTGAGAAAACATCACTACTCTCATATGGATGAAATATTAATTCTTGACTACGTATTGATAAATGATCTCTCGATGGCGAATGACGACACTAAAAATTATTCAAGAAGATAATATTATGTATGTCAAAGGTATATAACCCATTCGAATTTCCACGAAGACTCAAAAACTTTTCCGAAACATGAGTATTAATAAATTAGGAGTAGAGGAGTTGTTAGTTAACCATTGAAATCGATGTCGTTAACGTGCTTTTTTTGTCTAGAAGCAGTTAAAAATGTTGAGAAGAACTAAGGAAAACTTAATAGCGTGAGCTTGTAGCTCAAATGTAAAATGCTTTCGTTATGACTTGTGTCATTTTGACTTCGTAGCGAACGAGTTTTTGAGCAACTAAACTAAGGATAATTCGGAATTAGAACCAACTCAGTAGTGGAATTAAGTAATATTTCAAGAAAACAAATGACATTATTCGTCATTCATATGGTTTGGACCTATATAGCACTTTCATAAAAGTTCTCCCTAAGCACAGAATGATGGGCGTAAGTTTTTTCGAATATTTAATGAGATTTGACATTTATAAGAAATAAGTAAGAAATTCTGTATACCATCTCGCTTGAGATTCTCTTTGAGATTCTCGCTCCTCTTCGTACTTCGTAGAAGTCGTTAAAATGACTTACCATACTCATTGCCATATACCAGAGAACAGCCGATGATGTCAATAATATACAAATAAATATCCATACGGGTAATTTTGGCTGTTTACGTATTAAATCATTCCATTCTGTTTTAACATCGTTAAAAAATTGTTGTAAACGCATATTTATTGGTTCTATACGTTGTTTAATTACTTGTTGTTGTTCTCTTGGGTGTTGAACAATATGCTTTATTTCCTCGAATAATGGATTACGATCCTCTTCAGATGACTCACTTGATGATGATTCTTTCTCATTTTGATTTATCGGTTTAGGATTCACTGGAATACTTTGTATCAAACGAAAAACAGGATTCCCAATAGAATTTTCCACCGGTGGCGATAATGGTTGAAGATTTTTTTCAAACTCGTTGGTTTTTTCTCTAATCTGTTGTAAAATGCTATTGAACATTCGAAATGGATCCTCACTAAATACACGTTCCATCGATGGCAATTGAATTAGCGGTCGTTGACGAAGACGAACTAATATTATTGATTTTGGATGGTTATCGTCATTTTCAGCAGATTTTTGAATTGTGTCGATCTAGAATAAACAGCACTTTTTTATCTGACATATTGGAAGTCATACGCATGAGCAGATGGTAGGTGTATCAGATAGTTGTTAACAGATTATGTACAGAGCACTCGTGTTTAATACAAGAGAGAAATAAAATACTCACGAGTGGTTTAAGTTCAATAAATGGCAGCAGTACCTGGCTGATTTTTGGGGCACTTGAATCACAACCAGCAATACAGCTGGAAATAAGATCGAACGTTTTTGAATATTCTTCAGTACAGGATGGTTTACATTGTTCCGGTGTTTTTTTAAGCAATCTTAAATGACAACCTAAATGAAATAAAAAGCAAAATAGAGTGAAGATTCTTCCCAAACAACAAACTACATGAGAGCATGTTGATTGTAGCAGTTCTAGAAAACAACTATTTCTTTTCTCCTAATAAATAGCATCCAAATATTTCAGAGGTTGATAAACAACGTTCTTGGTAGATCAATATTGTCGATAAATTTTTATCACTAACTAGATGATACTATTCGTATCACTAACTAGATGATACTATTCGTATCACTAACTAGATGATACTATTCGTATCACTAACTAGATGATACTATTCGTATCACTAACTAGATGATACTATTCGTATCACAAACACATTAGCCGCATAAGAGTTTGATATGACTAAATCCAACATCTACCTTTTCTACAAGCATCCAAATGTGGTGAATTTGGATTGGTTTCCGAACATGTTTTATAACATTCAGTTTCCTCTTTATATAATGTTTCAACAAGTCCATTTATATAGACTACATTGACCATCAAAATGATTGAGCATAATACAACTTTTGAAAAATCCATAATTTCAATTGCAACAAAATATTTTGTTTGGACTGATTACCGATTAAATAGTCACTATATATGTTTGTGCGCGCTTTTGATGATTTTATTATATGTATTTAGCTTTTTCTTATATCTAAAAATGAATATAATAACGAAAAAAAAGGTATGAAATACGAACAAAGCGGACTAAGTGACAGAGAATGTTAGAAAAAGAAAAGCGTTTTTTCTTAGAATACACGTTTTTTTTTCTTTTGTTTTCTTTATTTCTCGCACTTTCTCTATTTGTTTTTCTTGTTCTGTTTTGCAATATTTTACATCAGAGACTGACGAGCAACGGAAAAAACATCATACAATTTTAATGATGTCAGAGACAGAAGAGAAAATCGAACGTGCATCTGAAAACGACACTAAAGTGCAATTGTTTTCTTCGCCCTTTATTTTCCAGTTGCTAATTCGAAAGAAGTTCCTAAAGACTACCTTAAAAGAACTCGAATGGAAGCCATTTGCTGAGCCCGTTGTCACTTCTATAAGCTTTTTTGTCAAAAATAAAAAATAAAAATTTACTGTTCGAGACGCGCATTTATTCAATTTTTTACATTAAAAAGAGAAATTCAATACATGCTGTCGCGTTAATAGTCTTTAATGTCACCGACAGAGAAATAAAGTTCATTTAGAGTCGCGGGAAAGTGCTTTTTCGTAGTCAGCATACGTGATAATCCAGAAGATTTTCTATTTTTAGCGAGAGGTACTACCGAAAGTTTAAGAAAATTTTTTGAAACTAATCTTATTTTCATATGGGAATTTTTTTCGCCATTTTGATTAACAATTTTTGAAACTGTTGCCAAGACCTCCTTGCAAGAAATAGAAAAGCAACTGAGTTATCGAGTGGGCCGAATACGAAAAAGCAGTTTTCCGAGACTCTAAATGAACTCTATTTTTTTCTTCACGTTGATATGCTGGAAGTCAGTAGTTAATAGAGATGCAGGATCTATCCGTAAGAATAAAAAACTTCTCCTGACGCGAGAATTTTTAAAAAATTTCTCACTAATATCAGAATATTTTCTTCTGCAGTTATTTTTCAGCAAAAATTCTATTTTGCTAAAGTTTTTCTGAAGACTTTCCTCGAATTAAAGAATTTTCCTCCGACGGATGTCGGAGTAAACGGGTATATTCTGTACCTCTGGTAGTTAATCCGAGGAAGTTATCCGTGACCTCATCGATGGTGCTCGCTAAGGCTTCATGATGCATTACTCCATCTTCTAGTAGAATAAAACAAATAATTTTTTTGTTAGAGGTAAGTTTAATTTCAAAGAAACTAAATAGTTACTTTTTTTTTTGAAATTTAAATAAAGAGAGAAACTGTAAAATAAAAAATAAAGAACATGATGTAACAGAGCAATCATCCTATGACATACACAATATGTTTGGTTGCTTACTCTCTTTCATTCTTGCTATAATGCGTGCGTGACTGCACTTAACTAATAATGAAACTGTTAAAGATACTGTTGAAAAAAAAGTAGGCTGAGCAGGAGAAAAATTAGAAAATCATCTTCTGACTTTGAAAACAGGTCATGTTCATTCTGACATTTTTAAAATACGTCGTCAGCCATGAATACTTTCAACTAAAATTTGATAAAGCTAATAGATAGATGTCGTCGAGGTATTCATACTTATATAAAAGAAACACTCAAATTGGTAGCCATTAACAGTCAGAATTTAATCACTATCCCTACAAAAAATATTCCAATGCGCACCGGTGCAGATATATTTATGCCAAAAAAAGTGCCGCACTGGTCAAAATCAGTGCAGCATTGAAACTTATTTAGTCAGTTCTTTATTATAGTTGCATTTTCTTAATTTTGCATTAATTAAAGTACAGCACTGATATGTACCAGTACTACACTGACATGTCGTAACAGTGTGGCACCATCTCAGCACTTGTCTTATGAGAAGGAAGAAATGAAGTCAAAACGACATTCGAAACATTACAAGTATTCTATACTGTGGTGTCTATATAGACGAACGTCGACAAAACAAAATGACAAGTGAAAAATAATTTGGCAGGGGTGCCGATGAAGTAAGAAAATTTCTTATCGCCACCGGTGCGAACCTCTACTAATGAAAAAGTATCAATCTGCACGGGTGTGTACCAGTGCAAAACTTGAAAATCTTTCTGGTGCACATCGGTGCCGAATAAGTGCCAGTAGAAATTTTGTTTTGCAGGGTAACACCTAAAACAACACCCATGCTTCTATTAATAAATATAAGGGTAATCCAATGTTCAGAGTCGAATAGCATGCAACAAGTGGATTTTTGGGGTAATAGCGCTTGTTAGTTGTTTATAGTCATTAAGAAGTATCCATCGGAGTATTATTTGATGTTATCTAAGGACTATAAAATTTGGGAGTATTAGTAGTTAATGGTGTATTTCACAAATACCCTTCATTTTTGGAAACATTGCACAATAGTATATATCAGTAACCCATGGCAGTAGCGTTAATAAAGTAATAAAAATAGATAATAAATCTTCAAAGTACTGTTTGTACTGTGGTTAAAACTTTGACTAAAGATTACAAAAAATGAACTGAAAGTTCTGGTCATGAATCTTTTCCGACTGACAAACTTAAATGAAGCCTAACTCCCAGATAGTCGAAATATCGCTTATCTGATGCAGTATTCACTGATAAAAGAAAAAATCTCGAAAGCATTTTGCTGTCATGTCTCTGAGGATCTCTAATGATAATATTCATAACAATCAGCGAAAAAGTTTCAAATAAATTTTGAGTCTTTACAAAAATTTGGGGTCAAAACGGTACGACTTGCATTTGTGCTATATACGCCTTAATCCTGTTGTATCCTTACATTTTCCAAAAAACGTTTTCACTTGAGTCTATGCTAAAAATTATGAACTTACGAATGACAAGTTCATTAACTCGTTTAAGTTCAAACGGAAAAAAACAGGGGCTTTAAGCATCTCTCCAGACCTGGATCAATCTAAAAATGGCTGTCAGCTATTTCATGGACAAGTGACTCATGATGGAGCAGAATGGAATCTAAACATAAATTCACTTATATGTTGAAGATATGTCGAAGACAACTAAGACAAAATCAGACATTATCTGTAAACATACATAACTTACCAGAATTAAATAACAGAGGATAAACGTAATAGAGGACGCTACCTCACAGTGTGAGATACTCTGGAAGCGAAAAAGTTCTGTTAGACAGTTAACTGGAATTGACTAGAGTTGATTGACTATGAAAATATTATACATAAATAGATAATTAATCATCAAGCATCTGTGGGCACTTGTCCTAGGAGGTTGGAAGTTCCAGAAAACTATCAGAATTCTATCGATTTCTGAGCTATTCTGTATGTGAAACGATAGGTGACAGTTGTATGCTACATATGCGCATCTTTATCCAAACATCAGTAAGATATTTGAGGATCTTTAGAAGGCTTTCGGACTATTAGATTCATTGGGCTTCGGAATATCCAGATTCGACTGTGAAGCAGTCTCTAAATGGTACAGAGGGCCGGCGCGAGCAAAATTATGATACCGGGCGAAAATTTATTTTTGCGGCCCCACCTCTTCCCGCAAAATGCGCCCCCACCCCCTCTGCCTGTACCTGTTGAAATGCGCCTGATCAGTATTAGAAAACCATGCTTTGTACCGCCCCGGGCGATCGCCTTACGTTGAAATTCGAGGGCGACTTCATATGCACGATCACCGACTCGTTGACTGATAGTCTCTGTTCATTGGATCACTCTTTATTAACCCGTAATTGGCATTAAGTCTGTGAGAGAATGTTAATGCGAGGGAAAATCACTTTCACAGACGTCTTTGATATGAATTCTTGAATTAAATGAAAAATTATTTTGACTTTGAAAGACGCCATATGTCTTGTTGTTTGTATTTTTAGAAAAAACGAGTTTTAACCAAGAATTTTTCATGATGTATTTTTTTTCTCAAAAATTTTATCGTATGACATAATGAAAACAAGAGAGTAAACCCTAGAGGATGTCCAGTTTGTCTGGTCAGACCACTAGTTAGATACCTGTAAATAAAAAAGTTCTTGCCTGTTTTCTTGGTCAAGACCTGTTTTTCTGCTGATCAGTCAAAGAAATCAAGATCAGAATCTGTTTTTCCCCTGATCAATAAACCTTGATTTCTTTCACTGATGAAAAAACCATTTAAAATATCCCATCATTACAGCAAGTTGATTCGCTAAAACCAGTCTAGTTTTGAAGAGCACACTAAGTTACGTAAAAGAATGTGCTTGCTGACTTCATAGCTGATGCAGAAACTGAGAAATATGACTATTACTCTTCCAGCAAAATTATCGTTTCGGCGCTGCTCTCAGTGCGAACTGATAAGCACCGCGAGGAATTTCACAACATATTTTCCCTTTGACAAAGTGCTTAAAGTTATTATTATAGTGAGACAAGAACTATATTCCCCACAACTTTGAGGATTTTTAAAAGCTCAGTATCTCATAATCCTTACATGCCTCAAAGTTTTAGAGAATATAGTTGTTGTCTCACTCTAGCATAATAACCTTCAGTGCTTTGCCAAAAAAAGAGAGAACATGTTGTAAAATTCATCCCAGTGCTTATCAATTCGCACTGAGAGTGACACCGAAACCAATAATTTAGTTGGAAGAGTAATACCCATATCGATGAAATCGCGGAATTTTTAACAATTAATCGCGATTATTGAAAAATCGCAAAAAAATAATTGCGATTAATTGACGATTCCGATGATTTTTCGGAAAAAATATGTATTTCCTAAGATGGGTTCGAACTTAGTACCTAAAAAAAGTCGTCAGTTAATCAGGATTAAGCGCACAATTAATCGTATGACTTTTCACGATTAATTATCGATTTTTATGCGATTTTTAGTACATCGGATAGGCATATTCCTCGGCTTCTGCATCAGCTATGAAGTCAGAAAAGACATAATATTCTTTTACGTAAC